AAAGTTTCTTTAACCAGTCATCTGTTCTTGGGTACTCAGGTTTCTTCCAGTTTCTGGCTATTGTAAAGAGTGCTGCAATGAACAAACAAGTGCAGATGTCACTTCGACTACACATTTTTGCCTCTCTGGGGTATATTCCCAGGAGTGGTATCGCTGTGTCAAATGGGAGCTCAATTTCTAATTTTTTGAGAAACGTCCATACTGTTTTCCAAAAGGGCTGAACTAGTCGGCATTCCCACCAACAGTGAAGGAGTGTCCCTTTCTCGCCACATCTGCGCCAGTATCAGTTGCTTTTGTTCTTTTGAATGTGGGCCAGTCTCTGAGGTGTGAGATGGTATCTCATTGTGGTTTTGATCTGCATCTCCCTGATGATTAATGATGTAGAGCATTTTCTCATGTGCTTTTTTGCCATTCGGATTTCTTCTTTGAGAAAGTTTCTGTTCATTTCATTGCCCCATTTTTTGATGGGGTTGGATGTTTTCTTCTTGTGGAGTTCAACCAGTACTTTGTATATCCTTGTTATCAACCCCTTGTCAGATGTGTATTGGGCGAATATCCTTTCCCATTCTGTAGACTGTTTTTGTATTTTGGTCACTGTTTCTTTGGAGGTGCAGAAGCGTCTTAGTTTAAGATAGTCCCATTTATCTATCTCTGTTTTTACTTGCTTGGCCAGTGGCATGGCATCTTTGAAAATACCATAAGCGTCAATGTCATGGAGGGTTTTTCCAACTTTTTCTTCACTGTACCTTATTGTTTCTGGTCTTATGTTGAGGTCTTTAATTCATTTTGATCTTACTTTTGTACATGGTGTTAGGCAGAGTTATGAGCCCATTTTTTTGCATGGAGCCGTCCAGTGATGCCAGCACAATTTGTTAAAGAGGCTTTCTTTACTCTACTTCACATTTCTTGCACCTTTATCAAAGATTAGATGATCATATGATTGTCGGAGAGCCCGGCAAGCTATTCGGAGAGCCCGGCAAGCTACCGAGAGTATTCGATATGCCAGACACAGTAACAACAAAGTCTCCAATGGAGACGTTACTGGGCCCGCTCGAGCAAATCGACGATCAACGGGAGGGCCTTTACCTTTTTATGATTGAGGGGAGATGTCAGTGTATTCAACCCTGTTCCACTGGTCTGAAGTTCTGCCTTTGTTCCAGTACCATGCTGTTTTGATTATTACTGCTTTGTAGTACACTTTGAAGTTTGGGAGGTTGATTCCTCCCATTTTCTTTTTCCCAAGAATTGCTTTAGCTATTCGTGGGGGCTTATTGTTCCATATAAATTTCAGGAGTGTTTGCTCCATTTCTTTGAAGAATGTCATGGGTGTCCTTATAGGGATTGCATTGAATTTATACAATGCTTTCGGTAGTATTGCCATTTTGACAATGTTAAGTCTCCCGACCCATGAGCAGGGGATATCTTTCCATTTCCTCATGTCCTCTTTTATTTCCTGAAGTAGCGTTTTGTAGTTTTCTTTGTACAGGTCCTTTACTTCCTTAGTTAAGCTGATTCCCAGGTACTTGATTTTCTGGGGCACAATTGTGAACGGGATTGTTTTTTTCATGTAGCTTTCCTCTCTCTCACTGTTTGCATATAGGAAAGCCATGGACTTTTGGGTATTGATTTTATAGCCTGCAAACTTACTATACGAGTCTATTGTTTCTAAGAGTTTTTTGGTGGAGGTTATTGTGTTCTCTAAGTAGAGTATCATATCATTTGCGAATAGTGAGAGCTTGATTTCTTCCTTTCCTACCTGAATGCCCATAATATCTTTTTCTTGCCTAATCGCTATTGCAAGTACTTCCAGTACTATATTGAACAGCAGTGGAGAGAGTGGGCATCCTTGTCTCATCCCTGATCTTAGAGGGAAGGCTCTCAGTTTTTCCCCATTGAGGATGATACTTGCTGTAGGCTTGTGGTAGATGGCTTTAACTATGTTGAGGAAAGTCCCCTCTGTACCCATTTTGGCTAGGGTTTTCATCATAAAGTGTGCTGGATCTTGTCAAATGCTTTCTCTGCATCTATTGATATGATCATATGCTTTTTATCTTTTCTTTTGTTGATATGATGGATTATGTTGATTGATTTCCGAACGTTAAACCATCCTTGCATCCCTGGGATGAATCCTACTTGGTCATGGTGTATGATCTTTTTGATGAGTAGTTGGATTCTATTTGCTAGTAGTTTTTTTGAGGATCTTTGCATCTGTGTTCATCAGGGATATCGGCCTGTAGTTCTCTTTCTTTGTGGTATCTCTGTCTGCTTTTGGTATCAGAAAACACTGAAGTCTTAACTGAGTGAGTTTGGAAAGGAAAAATTAGTAACTACTGATGAACATTGAATGCGTCATTAAAGCTGGTCTCATGGTGGTGTCATTGCAGAAAAACATGGTTATTTTCTCCTCCTTATGGTTATTGCTGCAAAAAACTAGCCTTTGATGAAATCTGATTGTTCAAATAGTCATGCAAATTTCTGGTTTTTTTAATTTTGTCAAAATTTATCCTGCTGAAAATGTGCTCATCAGAACTCAACCAGGAAAAGGTTACAAGAACTTTCAGGTTACAAGAACTCAGCTTTGGTCTCTGGCCTCTTACTAACTAAGGAATATTTGACATTCACCTCACCTGTGTGGACTTTTATATCTGTAGGTCTCAGGTCCTTCCTCTGTTGTGTAATCTCCAGGTGGCTAGGAAAACCTGCTGTGGCTCTCTCGCCACCTGCGTTTGGTGGTCTTGGGTTGCTCCCCGACACGGGTCAGCTGATGCCATGGGCAGATAAAGAAGGAGATGAGAGCCAGGCTGGTTGGTGATCAGTTGCCGTTTATTCTGTTCTCCCCATGATCCTGTTCCAATCTAAATTCCCCATTCTAGTCTCACACTGCCCCTCATTCCTGTCTCCTCCTGTCCAGCATGCTAGTCTCTCCATGTTCCCTCTCACTGCCCTGGTCTCTCTCTAGTCTCTCGCCATCTCCCAGCATTGGAGGTAGTCACTACACCCCATTCGGTAACACAATCAACATATGAAAGCCCTTCTTTTGCTCAAGGGGCAAAATACTATTTAGGGGTCTTTCTCCTTTCCTTAGCCCAATAAGTTAATTAACATCGTAATTCTACTTCTTAATAATAGTTATTTTGTATAGACATAGTAAAAGATACATTCAGTTTGGAGGGTGGATCTCCTGAGGACATCTCGCTATAGATCTTAGACTACAGTGCTCAGGCCAGATTAATCTTTCCTAACCCTAGCAGGGTCCTAATCCAGCTGTTACTTTTTTGTAAGTAACAAATCATGACAGAGTTTGTTCATGACCATGCTCTTAACTTATAGTTAAGTATTATGTCACTTTGACTTGGCCCATTTCGATGCCAGAGTAGCTCACAGCTTGCCCTGGGTCACCCAGTTCCTTGTTGAGACCCTGCTTTTGGGGTCTTAGGATGCAAGGGAAACTGAGGCTTAAGTGGAGAAAAAAGATGCCCAAGAGTGAATTTTATTTGGAGTCAATTAACTCCCAAGTTACAAAAGCATAGCATAGTCTTCCTGTGTCCATACAAAAAGGGCATTGCTCTGAATTAACTATGCAAAAGGCTTAAGGAGAAGAGAAAGGCAATATTTGCAAATTAACAGAATTAATCGACTGGTTGGGGAAGTAGAGCACAAAGAGGTTACAGATAAACACAGAGGAATGGGAGCACTGTGATGGGACTAACCCCCCAAAACTAAGCTCCCTGTGGCAAGGCAGCAAGGACAAATCAATGCTATCCTACACTCTGTGAACAAAAGTATCTTTCTGGGCTATTGTAACAAGTGACCCCCAAGTTGAGTGACTGAACGTATCTCTCCCGGTTTCTGTGGTTGGAGATGCAATCTTTGTTGAGCTGGTGCTTTTGGGTAAGAGTTGTTGAACACTACAATCAAGGAGTCTCCGGGGACCCCTTGGGAGGCTCCTGTTTGATCCCTGTTAGATGTCACTGAGTTACTCAAGGGTTGTTGGACTGAAGGACTCAATTCCTCATGGGCTCTTGGTCAGAGGGCCCTTCACTTCCTGTGGGCTCCTCCTTGATACAGCCCCATGTGTGGGTGAGGACTGCAAGAGAGCAAGTGAAAGAGAACAAGCAAGAGACAAGGTTTTCCTGTAATCTAATGTTATTCGTCGATTGCCTCGAGCAAGCCCCAGTAACGTCTCCTTCATCCTAACCCTGAGATTATATTCAAGGCTCTTTAGGAGAATGAGCCCCATCATTGTTACTGGTATTTGGCATATTGGGTACGCCACGGGGAGTTTGCCAGACTCTGCCATGTGGGCAGGTTACATTCAGTAGCCTGCCAGTTTGTCCAATGTAATCTAATGAGCAAGGTCAAATTCTTTTTACTAAATTCTATAGTTGCTAAACTACATTCTACATTCTGAGTTAAGAATTACTAAACTTGCTCACACTCATGAAGAGCTGGTTCTTTGTACTTTTCTGTACTTAACCTGATTACTGCTCCGAGATTACTTGTGAGAAAGAGATTGCATTCATTTCAGTTTCTCTTTGATTTTGTCTTAAATTATGGTGTAAGGTGAAGACCTAGTCTTTAAGAACTAGAGTCTTCTATTGTTTCAAATAACAATTACTCTCTGCCTTGGTAGGAGTTTAGATTATAGATATATAGATTTGTATCTGTAAATATCAATATATAATCTATACAGAGATAAAAGAACAGAGATGTATATATATATGTACATATATATACACTCATGTATATGTCAATATAAAAAGTAATGGGCTGGAGTGACTGCACAGTGGAAGGGTGTCTGCCTTGTGCACGGCCAGCCCGGCTGAGCCGGGTTCGATTCCTCCGACCCTCTCGGAGAGCCTGGCAAGCTACCGAGAGTATCTCGCCCACACGGCAAAGCCTGACAAGCTCCCCGGGACATCTTCAATATGCCAAAAACAGTAACAACAAGTCTCACAATGGAGACGTTACTGGGCCCGCTCGAGCAAAATCAATGAACAATGGGAGGACAGTGTTTGTTGGACAGCATCAATATAGATTATGTATGTAAGATATGCATCTTCGTTTCAAAGTCTGTGTAAAATTGATTTGATTTCAAGGTTTATGAATAAACTTAAACATTTTTATGCTGCCCAACCATTCACTTAATCACTTAACTTCCTGTTAGTCGTCGATTTGCTCGAGCGGGCACCAGTAACGTCTCCATTTGTCCCTGTCGCGTGCTAGTGTAGCCCAATGGCATCTGTTCACTCCGGGAACATGAAGAGCCTCAAACCGATCGTTCATGATCTTGACGAAGAAGTCTAAGAAGCCCAACCATTAAAAATGAAATTCTACTTGTAATTTAGGGTTATTGGTGCTATAACTATTTCATTTTGGAATGTTAAATTAATTTCTCAATTTTATTGTGCTGACATATATGAAATTGGTTACAATCCCTATTAAAAATAACAGTAGCAAGGAAGGATGGTGGTTTAAAAACCATCAGCTATGAGTACAAACTCTGACTTGAGTGATAAATCATAATTTTTCCAAGTATCAGTTCCCTTATTTGTAAAACGTGGGTAATGATACTGTGTCATTAAAATGTACTTATAAATGATAAGTTTAATTTATAAGTGGAATCTACCAATTCATGCAGTTCCTTAACTAGTCTCTTATTTCAGCCCATCTGTATACAGCGTGGTTGTTGCTGGAACGCTGAAGGGGACATCAAAATTCCTTGGTGCTACTATTCTAAGAATCATGGCTATCAAATGGAGGGGCCTGTGAAAAACACAAATGCAGGTAGGCTGTATTGGCAGGAACGGGAGGTCAGATACTCAGAGGATGGCCCCTTGGGCTGCAGAGCGAAGGTTTGGCACAGGCAGGTGCCTGCCCATGATAATAAGAACTATAATCTATTTGACATCAAGATCACCTTCTCGGGAATTCAGAAATGTGATCTATTGCCCACTCTGGACTTACTTACCTTTGTAACCCTGGGCAAACTTCGTGGCCTTTATGTTCCCAAGTTTCTAACTTACAGAGAGAAGGAGTTGATTCTGAAATGACTTTACAACTCTGATAAAATGTGATTTTATCTATTTATTACTTTGTTTCTTTTTTACTACACACTACTAGTTTAGAGTCATTGGGACTTTACCACTTAAGAAGAATGGGTTCTTGTATGCCTGAAACCCAATAATGAATAACTTTGCAACTTGACTATGACTAAATAAATAAAAAAAGAGTATATATTCTTAATACATTTTTGTACTTAAACTGACCGCTACTCCCAAATTACTTGGGAGAAAGGAATTATATAAATTTCAGTCTCCTTTGGTTCTACTTTAAACTGTAGTGTAAAACAAGTACCTCTTTTAAATTAGCATTGAAAATAGATTTAGAATCTATTCCCAAATACTGTTCAGGGGGCTGATGATTTTGGCCCATTCAGGTCAATTATTCAATGTGAAGGTCTTAGGATATGGTGCTGCTTGGACCCTGCACTGCCAGGGACCACCAGGCCACACTCGTTGTGTGTGGAGATCCACCAGAGTTATAACTGACAGTGCTTGAGGTACCATGCAGTTTCAGGAATCGAACAGACTTGGGTATAAAAAAAGCATGCACCTTAACCTCCACCCTCTAAAGTGCAGTTTTAATGACATGAAAATTATTGTCAGTTTGGAAACAATTGATGAAAGTTAGCTAGTCTGTGTCAGTATCTGGGGACTGAACAGCTCATTCTGACCCCTACCTAACCCCCAAGCATAGAGCAGAATAATGATGAACTTTCTAGGGAACAGTGGAAGGCAACACCTCTTGGGAGGCCATTAACATCAAGGGAGAAGCTTCTTACCTTCCTGGGCTCTTGCCCTAATGGAGTTTTTTAGGACAATCTTGATGATGACCTGGTTTATCACTTAACAAGGGAAATGGAGAAGTTGTGAGGTAGCCTGAAGATAACTGGGCAGGGATAATAGCCAGAGACACACACATTAAGAATGCAAAGGCTCTTGCTGAAAGCCTTTGTTTCAGTGGGTACAATAGGTGTTAGGCATTTGGAGAAGTTTTCAATCATAATTTGCAGGAGAGTTGCCTGGAAGTTGATTCTGAACCTGAGTCAAGGTGTGAATAATGTCTCTATCTGCCTCTCTCTTTTTTTAGAGAATAAAGTCATTCTGCCAACCCCTTTAAGCAAAAGTCTGTGGCTGCTGTCTTAAAAGTGGGTACAGTCAGCACTGAAAACCTTCTCCCTCTCGCTTTAGGTTTCACTGCCCAGTTGCGAAGTTTACCAGCTCCATCCGCATATGGAAACAGCATCAGCAACATTCTCCTCACAGCAGAAAAACAAACCTCTCGCCGCTTCCACTTCAAGGTTCTAGCGGGCTTAATGTCTCAAATTTTAGAAGCTTTTGTTCTAAACCTTAATAGTGAAGTGACCACGAGAAAATGAAGTTTTGCTAATGCAGGGGTTTTCTTTGATGGCGATAATTCTTACATCTGGCTGATAAAGCTTTCTTTAGTGTGATAACTCCCTAGATACAGTATACAGGAAACTGGTGAGTTGGGAAATTCTAGAGGTCACGGATTTCAGCATAACTACCTCAAGACCAATTGAGGCCATAGAAGTAAGGGATAATAGATGATATAAAGTGCACATGTTGTATAGACATTGTGTTCACTGGGTTCTTGCCCATGTTCCAGTACCATTGGCAGAGAGATTCAGAAGCCCAGGAGATGTTTCCATTTTGAAGTCAGCGAGGTTTTCATTTTGGCTCTCTTTGCCTTCCTCTCGCTGTGCAGTTAACAGATGCAGACAAGAAAAGATTTGAAGTGCCTCATGAAAATGTGAAGCCCTTCCAAGGAAACGCCGCTTCTAACTTGCTCTATGACGTGAAGGTCTCCCAGGAACCTTTTGGCATCCAAGTGATCAGAAAGAGCAATGGGCGTGTTCTGTAAGTATTAAAAACCATTCCAAGGCTCAGCAAAGGGAAACTTCTGGGGAAGAGAGATCAGATTGAAGAGGGCTACATTTCTGCAATCTTTCTGAAGGTGACCTGCTGCGGTTGGTGGTCAGACTACACCTCTAAGTGTATACTATTTTATTTCTGCCCTTCTTCATCTTTACTCTATGTTTGTTTATTTTCTATTTTGTATTCTCCATTTTTATTATTTCATTATTTTTTATGTAGGAGTACTGCTATATATTCAGCCACTGATTAGCTGATTGAATTGGGCATGAACTCCACCATACTTTTTTTTCATAGTTTTATTTATTTATTTTTCATCTTATATTTATTTATTGAATCACTGTGGGAAAAGTTACTAAGCTTTCAGGTTTAAGTCTCGGTCATACAATGATCAAACACCTTTCACTTCACCAGTACTCACATTTCAACACCAAGAATCCCAATATATGATTTCTACTTAACTCTTCTCTACATTGATTTCATTCATCATTTTGACAAAAGATGCACCATTATTGTTTAGAATCCCCCCCCCCCCCCCCAATCAGAATTGCTGAAAAGGCATTGTGAAATACTTTGTTTTCTATAGCTGGTTATGAGAATCATATAATGTTGCGCAGCTGCTATTGTGGCCATGCAATTTTGGATTTCTGCAAAGAGCCAGATAATTTAGAGACTGGTTTCTGTGTGTCTGGTGTTATGGCTTCTCCCACCCCAACCTTGCTGCTGGGGGGGAGCGAGAAAAGGCGGAAGGGAGCAACACCCTTTCCCTCCTGGGGAGGCATAGTGCCATAGTTTAACGTATGGTCCATTCACTTTTCTGCCGCAAGCTGTCGGGCTCTGGATTAAGTCCTTTTGCCTCTGGAGCCATGGCTGTGACGGAGAGCCTCTTGTGGGGGGCAACTCGTGACCTCAGTAGGGTGTGAAGGACAAGCCAGTACCCGCCCCCCCTTCCCATGCGTATTCTCCATTTTTAAAAGTAAAATTGAATCATTGTGAAGTACAGTTACAAAGTTGTTCATGTTTGGGTTTCAGTCATATGATGTTCTGACAACTCTTCCTTCTCCAGTGTAAAATTCCTACAACCAGTGTCCCCAGTTTCCCTCTCACCATGCCCCCACAGGCTCTATCTCTCTCTCTCTCTGTCTCTCTCTCTTTCTTTTTCTCTTTCATTCTGGGCATGATACTGATAGGTTATCATGTACATCTCTTTACCTACCTTTAGCACTCAATTCTTGACCAGAGCGATCATTTCCATCTACCATTGTCATAGTGGTCCCTTCTCTATCCTAACTGCCTCCACCCTCACCCCCAACTTGTTGCCAGCTTCCAACTGTGAACCAGTCCTCCTAGTTCTTGTCAGTACTGTCCTTGGGTATTTTAGTCACTGTCACTGTCACTGTCCTCCCGTTGTTCATCGATTTGCACGAGCGGGCCCAGTAATATCTCCACTGGAGACTTTGTTGTTACTGTGTCTGGCATATCTAATATATCACGGGAAGCTTGCCAGGCTCTGCCGTGCGGGAGAGATACTCTCGGTAGCTTGCCGGGCTCTCCGAGAGGAGTGGAGGAATCGAACTCGAGTCGGCCATGTTGGCTGCTTGCAAGGCAAACACCCTACCGCTGTGCTATCGCTCCAGCCCCGGGTATTTTAGTACCATAAATATTTTTATATCCCACAAATGAGTGCAATCAGTCTATGTATCTCTCTCCTCCTGACTCATTTCACTCAGCATGTGTATCTTTCATTTTTCTAATCATTTGTGTAGCCATAGCTATCTGTGGAAAAACTTCTAGATCAGGAATAGTGATCTGTTCCTCTGGTAGGATGGGTAGGAATAAATCTAAGAAATTTGCAATAAAGTACTCACTCTTGAGAAATCCTGAGTTCTTGCATCCATGGAAAACTGTCATAGGAACCCAGTGAGGTGGTTACATGGAAGACACGGAATCACTGAAATGTAAGAGCCCTTCTCTGAGCAACTGCATTCTATCTATTCTACTTTCCTTCATGTTCCTGTGTTTTGCACATGTGTCTAGGTTGGACTCCAGCATCGGGCCACTCCTATTTGCTGACCAGTTCCTGCAGATCTCTATGAAACTGCCAAGTGCCAATGTGTATGGCCTGGGGGAACATGTGCACCAGCAGTACAGGCATGATATGAATTGGAAGACCTGGACTCTGTTTTCCAGAGACACAGTTCCCAATCGGGTAGGCTTTTAGGATGGATATTTCTCCACTGCCAAACTCAGTCTCATTTATAAGAGTCATTCCTAGCATAACAGTGCCACACTTAAGGTTGAGATTCTGTGTGGAGGTCACGTGGGTCTGGATTCTGGTATTTCTGTTTCTCTTTCTCCATTTATAAAATGGGTCAATATGCTAATCTTGTAGGGTTATGATATAAGTTAAATGAATTTATCTGTATAGAGCCCAAGAAGACCGTCTAGCACATAGTACATTTTTTATTTATTTTAATTTGGAGGCTACACCTAGCAGATCTCAGGAATTACTCTGCGGGGGGTGGGGGGGTGGGGGGGCATATCCAGTGCTGAAAGTCAGACCGTGGACAAGTACCATACCTGCTTACTCTCTGACCCAGTACCTGCTCCCTGCTCTTTAAATAGTAACTTACTTGTAACTTGTAACTTGCAACATACTTTCTCAAGTAATGAGTTTCAGAGTTACTATGCATTACTTAAAGTTACTAGAAGTACTAATAGTTTAACAACATAAGATATTAAATTATACTTAATTTAAATTGTGCTGTTTACAATATGTTATGATCTCCATTTTTGGCAGGGTGTTGACCCTCATAATTTACCAACTTAACAGGGCTGTCAGTAAAATAGGATAAACTATCCACAAAGGTTCATTTTTTTTTCTCTGTTTTTTTTTTTTTTTGGTTACATCTGACAATGCTCAGAAGTTACTCCTGGCTCTGTACTCAGGAACTACTCCTGTTGGTGTTCAGCGATCAAACCTGGGTCAGCCACATGCAAAGCAAATGAGCCACCCACTGTACTCTTGCTCTGGCCCCCACAAAGCTCTATTTTAATCATTCTTTGTGTGAAGAAAATTTAGAGCATTGCAAGAACAGAAGAAATAGAATTTTTGTGTTTTTTTTCTCTTCTCAGTTTTTCCTTTTCTTTTCTTTTTTTTTTTTTTTGCATGTCTGTTTGGTTTGACTGGTAAATCCAAAGTAGAGTTAATTTCTAGGGTCAGCAATACCACTTACAGGTCTGCCAGCAACTTATCTGATTACGCAGAACTAATGATGAATCAGGGCTGGAGCGATAGCACAGCGGGTAGGGCGTTCGCCTTACACGCGGCCAACATGGCCGACCCGAGTTCGATTCCTCTGCCCCTCTCGGAGAGCCCGGCAAGCTACCGAGAGTATTCGATATGCCAGACACAGTAACAACAAAGTCTCCAATGGAGACGTTACTGGGCCCGCTCGAGCAAATCGACGATCAACGGGAGGGCCTTTACCTTTAATGATGAATCAATGAAGAACACAGGAGCCTCGGATCTTTTGAAACATGTCATTTGAAACCAGTGATTCTCAAATGTGACTGCACATTGGAAAGATAGGGAGAAATAGAGAAAAGCCGCATGTCTTTCTCCATACCCAGGGATTCTATTTGGGTTGAGATGTATCACGTGTCAAAAATGGTTCTCCCAAAACTCTCCAGTCTTTCTTGAGTTTGAAAGACAACTGTTCGAAGGCCTGTTAGGCCTAACGGAAACCTATTAGAGCTCAGGTATCTGGTATCTAGCCACATGTTAGTAGTCTGGTAGATATTAAGACTCTATAAGATTTAGACTAGAATATTTCATACTTTTATTTTTACATTATCTTTCTGCAGGATAAAACTAACCTGTATGGTGTACAGACATTCTTCTTGTGCCTAGAAGATGCGAGTGGATCCTCCTTTGGAGTGTTTCTCATGAACAGCAATGCCATGGGTAAAGGACTGAAGGAATGTGTGTGAGAAAGCGCATGAGTGACATGTAGTCCCTTTCTTGCAGCATTGAGAAAAAAAGGAGCAGAGCCCTATAGTGATGGCTAAACCGAAGCTTGGGGCTTTATGTGTTCATTGACTTCCTGTTCTTTGTTCTTCATTAACATTTCCTGTAGTCTGGGGTTTCTTCCCGGGCTTATGATGCTGAGTCTAGTTGACTCTGTTGGCCTATTTCATAGATTAGAGGGAAGACAGAAAATGCTAAGAAAATTTTTACTAATGTGTGTTTATTCTTTTGACTTTGATCTTGTAGAGGGGTTGGCTGAGGTACTGGTAGGAAGCAAACAGTTCCTCTGAGTCAGGTGTTGATGCCAACATGTGTTGAGTCTAACTAGGGAGCTAGAATTGAACAATGAACATTGTTTTCCAGTCATCCAAGGTGAGAAAGGTCAAGTGAAGTTCCAGGATCATGTGGTATAAGATCAAATTGTTTAAGATCAAATGAGGTAACATCTTCGGAAGGTTTTTTTTTATCATTTTTTTTTATTAGTGAAACACAATGAAGTACACTTATAGACTTATACATTTTTGTGCTTGGATTTCAGTTATACAATGATCAAGTACCCATCCCTCCACCAGTGCCCATCCTCCCCCACCACGGGTCCTAGCATCCCTCCCACCTCCCATCCCCCCCCCGTCCCACCCTGCCGCTGTGGCAGGGCATTCCCCCCTGTTCTCTCTCTCTTCTTTTGGGTACTGTAGAGTCTCATGCTCTACCATCCGAGCTAGCTAGATATTATTGAAGATTTTAGACTAGATCAATGTTTCTCATCTTGTTTTCCTATTATATCAGTAGTATACCTAAGGTGGCAATGAATCAGTTACCAGTGAAATCATCCTAGGCAATCAACAATAGATTTTCTGGGTCGATGTTGGGCACAGAACACTGATCTTCTCACCTGAGAAGCAAAAGACTGGATCTGTGTTCCAAATATCCTGGATGGTTCAGAAACCATTTTGGACCTACAATAAGATGAGCATAGACATTGAGAGTAAACCCTGCTTTCAAAAATGTAGTCTCCAATTCATTCGTGAACCTCTGTCTTGTAAGCCACCTTCAAATCAGTTTACAAATGAATCTACTTTTCAGGGAATTTTAAAGAAAAGATAAAGATGTAAATTTTTTAGCAATTTGAGAATCTATATATGTGATCTAAGATGATTCTAAGACATTTAATAAAGTCTTGGATGATTCAAAGACCTCCAATTGTTTAAGAATAGATTGGGCTGAAAGGAACAGAAAGCAATTACTCCTTTCTCTCTCTCTCTTTCTCTCTCTCTCTCTCTCTCTCTTTCTATATCATCTATCTCTATATCTATCAATTATTGTGGTGAGACTTTTTGTGGGGAATTTGATTGGGGTGGGACAGCTTTCAAATTGTAGCACGGGTGTCCTAAGATGGGCTCAGGGTGGACAGAGACCTCCCGTGAAGTGGAGGGTCAAAAGCTTATCTGATCTTGATTTTCAGTATAAATACAGACTGTGAAAGTGGGGCTTCAAACTTGACTGCAATGTGCTGGGGGTAACTCTGGTTGTGGTAGTACGGATCACTTTTTGTGGTGTCAGACCATGCTATGGGTAGTACTCAGGCAGTACTCAGGCAGCATACTCGGGGATATAAGGCAGATTCTCTATCATTAAAACTTTCTACCATCTCTACCATGCTGTTGGTAGTACTCATGCAGTACTCAGGTGTGTAAGGGGTATGAAGCAGACTCTCTATCATTAAGACTATACCATCTCTACTATGTTATTGTTAGTACTCAGGCAGTACTCAGGTAATACTGAGGGGTTCAAGGAAGACTCTCTACCATCCCCCTTGCTGAGGTCAAGTCACGTTTCAATAGAAAAGACCCAGAATCCTGACACTCTTTGACACTTTGTTCTATGACTAAGAGTACCAGGAGTATCACTTCTGTGATTAGGGTTTAGAGTTTATGATACAATGTCTGACCTTTCTTGGTTTAAGTTTGACTCTTGCTTGCTCTGAGACTCACTGATCTAGCACCTGGCGGGGTTGCATTCTTATAACTGTGGAAGGTTATGGGGATAGAAACAGCATTTTCTGTGGCTATGAATATCAGCAAAAACTCTCTCCTCTTAGGTTCAATTAATGGGGACCTATAAAGCAAACTGATAAGACAGGTTAGCAAGAGAAAAAGACAGAATTCATTTTCAGAGCAACAGTTGTGCACACAGTGGCTTTGGAGAAGAGCAGTTAGAGTTGGGTGCTTTAGCCCAGAATTCCTGACACGTAAATAGGAGAGAGATATTGGTTCTTTTGGTAAAACATAGTTTCTAGGAAAAAATGGCATATAGAAAGGGCATCAGTGGGAAAACAAGTGACATGGAAGGTTAAATGAGACTGAGGTAGAAAAATTGGGTGAAACAGCCTGCTGTGTTGACAGCTATTTGATGGGGTATAAATTCGTTGTCTCAGAGATAATAGAGCTCTCGGGTCGGTGTGTGGTTATTAAATGACCAGGTTATTTAGTTAGAGAGATTCTGGTTTCAGGTTGATAGAGGAGTCCAGAAACTCAAGAACCTTTAACTTAAAATAGTTTTGGTGCCATAGTAGCTTACTCTGGACCACCCATGAAACTAGTTGCTTTTTGATGGGAGTCTATTTTGTGACATGGGAATATTATACTACAACTACCAATGTTGGGATTAAGTCTCTTCTCATGCCTTGGGATCTGGGGTGCTGTGAGACTGTAATCGTCAGTGTTTGGTCCCTCATTGCCAAATGTTGTGGCATTAGAGTCAACTTATTTAAGTTTACATGACTGTTGATACTCTATTCTAAATTTCATAATTATTACTCTAGGATAAGTTCTAACTTCTCTCTCCTTTTTATAAAATTTTTCCAGAGGTCACTCTCCAGCCTGCCCCAGCCATCACTTACCGCACCATTGGGGGCATTTTTGACTTCTATGTTTTCCTGGGTGACACTCCAGAGCAAGTTGTTCAAGAGTATCTAGAGGTAATCTCACGTTGCCATGGTGCTGACCAAGAAAATCCTAAATAGCACAAAGAAAAGTGAACCAAATAAGCAATGGGGCTCATAAAAATGCCTATTCTTATAAATCTACTAGTTTGAGTGGACTACCATAGGGATGGTTTATCAGTCACAGTCCTCCCGTTGTTCATCGATTTGCTCAGGCAGGCCCAGTAACGTCTCCTTCGTGAGACTTGTTACTGTGTTTGGCATATTGACTACGTCACGGGTAGCTTGCCAGGCTCTGCCATGCGGGCGAGATACTCTCGGTAGCTTTCTGGGCTCTCCAAGAGGGGCGGAGGAATCGAACTCGGGTCGGCCATGTTGGCTGCGTGCAAGGCAAACGCCCTACCCGCTGTGCTATTGCTCCAGCCCGGGATGGTTTATAAAGGGGTTAAAAAATAGAACAATGTTCTGACATTAGTGGCTAGTATGCAGAAAAAGGGAAGCATGTTCTGTACCCTCCAACCAAGGTCTAGAGAAAGTTTTATTAAAACAGAATATTCACTGGCTTTCTTTCAGCTCATTGGACGGCCAGTCCTTCCCACCTACTGGTCACTTGGATTTCATCTCAGCCGTTATGATTATGAATCCCTAGATAAGATGAAAAAAGTCGTGAAGAGAAACCGGGATGCCCAGATTCCTTATGTGAGTAAGGCTTTAGGAAGTCTCCCTAACCAGAATCTTCTTGTCTGTACTTTCTCCCCCTGAGTGATACACACAAGAGTTTTACATAGGCAAAAGGCCAGACAATTTTGCTGGACCAGCCGTTCTCCCATGAGCAGGTTCATTTTAGTAGGAAACAGTACTAAAATGCCATACTTATGTGGTTGGAGGCAATCTATTTGTTTGTCTTTTTTTCTTATGTCTTATTAGGAAAATTTTCCTTGACTTCCTTTCATGTAATGCATTTTTGAGTTCTTCAGCCATTTTTTCCTTGTTTAAGTGACAAAATGATACAGTCCATACATGTAATTATTTTTAATGTTTTGAATGGATGAATCTAATGTGTCAAAAAAGGGATGAGAGTTTATTAGTGAGATGAAGGGGAAAACCAAAAAGTTTCTGGATTAACTTTCTACTTTTCATTACCTCATTCCCTGAGAGGCAGACATTTAGTTCCTAGAACAAGAGGCAATTTTGTTTTGAAGGCCATGCTTTTATTTGCTCGAGCGGGCCCAGTAACGTCTCCATTGGAGACTTTGTTGTTACTGTGTCTGGCATATCGAATACTTTCGGTAGCTTGCAGGGCTCTCCGAGAGGGGCAGAGGAATCGAACTCGGGTCGGCCATGTTGGCTGCGTGTAAGGCAGACACCCTACCCGCTGTGCTATCGCTCCAGCTTTTATTTAGGCAAACTTCAGAAGGAATAATTGATAAAGACTTGATGTAGAAGAGAAAAATAAAATAATGCAGGGTTGCACTGTAGCACTGTCCTCCTGTTGTTCATCAATTTGTTTGAGTGGGCCCAGTAACATCTCCATTGTGAGACTTGTTGTTACTGTGTTTGGCTTATCGAATACATCATGGGTAACTTGCCAGGCTTTGCTGTGCAGGCGAGATACTCTCAGTAGCTTGCCGGGCTCTCTGAGAGGGGTGGAGGAATTGAACCCGGGTCAGCTGGGTGGGCCACGTGCAAGGCAAATGCCCTACCAGCTGTGCTATCATTCCAGCCGTAGTAAAGTGAAATAAACGAAATGGGAGAGACAGTCCCTTCTCCCTTTATCTTGAATTAATTAAGATTTATGTCATAGGTGCTGGAGCGATAGCACAGCTGGTAGGGAGTTTGCCTTGCATGCGGCCAATCCGGGTTCGATTCCCAGCATCCCATATGGTCCCCCGAGCACCACCAGGAGTAATTCCTGAGTGCATGAACCAGGAGTAACTCCTGTACATCGCCGGGTGTGACCCAAAAAGCAAAAAAAAAAAAAAGATTTATGTTATAGATATGTGTATATAAGTATATCACAGTATGTATATATATATATATAGAGAGAGAGAGGGGGGTATATAGATAGATAGACATCTCTGGCTCTGTATATAGTTTTGACAGTTTTAGTGATTTTTAAAAATAATTGTGAAGTATCAGTGAGTTGATTTTCGATGCCTGTGGGAAGGGTAAAATAGAATAATGTTAATCACATAATCCCTGGGTGAGATCAAGTCCTAGGTAAAAACTGACCACTTGCTTTGGAAATTACCACTGGAAAAGAAACACTTCAATGCCAGAGCTGGATTCAGATGATGGGAGGGGAGTGGACACTCTGGTGGAGGGTTGGTGTTGGAAGACTGTATGCTTGAAACCCTGTCATTAACCGTAATGCTTCTCATGACATCTCAAATAAAATTAGGAAAACTGAATAGGAGCTCTCTTGAGAGTCCCACACAGAATCAGTTGTTCTCAGGAATAATCATAACGTTAAGCTTTCCAACTCATTTTGACAACAAAACTCCTAGGTGTTGATTTGTGGGCATCTGTATATTTTTAGGACGTGCAACATGCTGATATCGACTATATGGATCAAAGAAGGGACTTCACTTACAATCCAGTACAATATAAGGACTTCCCTAATTTTGCTAAGGAGTTGCACAGTAATGGGCAGAAATTGGTCATCATTGTGGTATGTGTCACTTCAACCCCCTTCTTTGCCTATCAATTCCCAATATATTTTCTTTTCTTTTTATATATTTTAAAATTTAATTAAAGAATCATGACTCACAAAGTTACTGATCCAATATCTTTCCATTGCCTCTAACTTAAAGTAAAATTATTCATTGTCCCTCCTTCCCCCTTTTTAGGATCCAGCCATCTCTAATAACTCTTCTCAAACTAATCCCTATGGACCATATGACAGGGGCTCAAATATGAATGTGTGGGTGCAAACTTCTGATGGAACTCCAATCATTGGAGAGGCAAGTCAAAGGGGGAAGTTGTGAAATGGCAAAGAGGGCTTCTGTGTGTGTGTATCTGTATAAAATTGTTTTGTTTTATGTTTCCAGGTGCCTTACATGTCTGGGCTAACCTGTACCTTTCATATTTCTTCCCTGAATACCTACCCATTTTCCTCATTTTTACATTCCAAGAACTGGCAAATCCCTTGAAACAATAGCCTGTGCTCCTACTAGGATGTCAGTTTTACTGTCAAATTTAGAGGTGTCCAGGAGCTGTGGAACTGGGACAATTGGCATCTCTTTGAGATTAGCTTTAAAAACCACTCTCTAATTATATACTCAGTCAATTGATTAATGAATTAATTTGTTGATTGATTGTTCGGGGGTCACATACAGTGGTAGTTAGGGCTTATTCTCAGGGTTACACGCAAGGATCACTCCTGGCAGTGCTTGGGGGGGACCACATGAGATGTTGAGGATTAAACCAGGGTTGGTTGCTTATAAGACAAGTACCTAGCTCTCTGTTCAGTCAATCTAATCTGATCAGTATTTTTTTTTCTCTGCTACAGGTCTGGCCTGGAAAAACTGTGTTTCCTGATTATACCAACCCTCAGTGTACTGCTTGGTGGACAGATGAATTTGAGCGTTTCTTTAAAGAAGTGGAGTATGATGGAATCTGGATTGTGAGTCTTTAATATTTTGATTTTCTTTCCATTGACTGACATACAGACAGTGTACATCTTTACCAGAAAATCGTAGAGAATATAAGGAAGGGGAAAGGAAAGCAAGGGTAGCAATAATACCCCTATAAAATACTCTATCTTACAATTTTAACCATCTTACTGAAACTTTTAGCTTAGAGTCAAACTAAATTATTATAGTTGGAAGTAAACTCAGATCTTTTCATTTCCCCAAGTCTTGCTTTCTTTTATAAATGAATGAGATAAAGTAAAATAACATTGAGCTGTTGCAAAGTATAGAATCTATTCAATGACCAGTTTAGAGCTCTTTCATTTGCACATGTTGGACCAACTGTTCGGAACTAAAGTCACCAGGTGTCTGACAAAACCATGGCAGTGCTATGGTTTAGTGCCGCCTGTAGCACTGTAGCACTGTCCTCTCATTGTTCATTGATTTTCTTAAGCAGGCACCAGTAATGTCTCCATTGTGAGACTTGTTGTTACTGTTTTTGGCATATCAAATATGTCACCGGTAGCTTGCCAGCCTTTGCCGTGCAGGCAGAATACTCTTGGCAGCTTGCTGGGCTCTCTCAGAGGGGCAAGGAATCAAACCCAGGTGGTCGCATGCAAGGCAAATGCCCTACCTGCTGTGCTATTGTTCCAGCCCAGTACCTCCTGTAAGGTTAATTAAAAACAAATGTAAAGTATTAGCTGTTCAGCAATATTCAGGAAGCTCAAGAACTGGACCTTTTTTCCATTTATTAGAGAAATGTAGAATATTCAAATTATCCATAGATCTAAAATTCTGGAATGAAAAGCCTTCTAAAATGATATTTATTAACCAAAGATGTTTCCCAACAGGACTTCTGTTAGCATCTAAATTTCATAGCAGCTAGCACAAGCTTACCCTCTCATTCTTTTTATGTCTATAAACATGCATTTTTGCATCTTGGAAGCTTTATTTGTATATGAAGAGAATATGCAAATCATATATGCAGATAATAATAAAATATTCCCATTGTTCGGAGAGTTTCCAGTTCTAGTAACTATAATCATATCATCTCAAAGGGATTCTAAGAAACTTCAGCATGAAATCTTCAGTGGGTTTAGAAGACAGGAAGATTTATTTCTTCCCATGTACACAGAATTTCTTTTAAATAGAAATATCTATAATTATTTCTCTGATTCTTTACATAAAGAGAATACCATTAGTATAACACAATGCATTTCCTTGATACCTTTTTTCCTGTCTTGTAGGATATGAATGAAGTCGCCAACTTTGTGCATGGTTCAGTTACAGGATGTTCCGAAAGCAATCTAAATTATCCCCCATTCACTCCCAGTAAGTCTTACTGCCAATGCATATTTGGTGCTTCATATTAAGTAGAATAGAAATGAGCAAACTGGCAAGGACATTTGCATGTAACTGGACATAGAGGAAGAAAAATGTGGAAGTGTATGCATAAAAATAAGAAGAAAAATCAAAGTACTTTATGTATTCCTTTAGTGGCATAAATTCAGAATGGATAAGCTATAGTCTAAATTGTTTTGAGAAGACATGGTGCAAAAGACAGAGGATAGTGGCTAGTTTAAGTAGATCCCAAGTGTGTTAACCTATAGGTTAGACTTACCAAGGAGAGACCACATAATAAGGTTTGTTTTTTAGTTGATGATCAAATCTGATAATATTGAGAATGTAAGGAATAGACATGAACCATAAGATAAAGGGTCGTCAGAATCTATGACTTGTGAGGTCAAATCAGTGAATATGTTTGTGTGCTCTGATTGAATTTTGACAACAATCCTAGGGTTGTAGTTCTGCAATCACAGAACTTACTGTAGGTAGAAAACTTTGTAGCTAGAGCTCACTGATGAGTTGTCTTGTCTTTATTAAGAAATGAACATTGAGAACTGAAGATATAGTACAGCAAGCAAAAGGCACTACCTTACACATCTGGCCAATCTGGGCTTAATCCACAACACCCTATACTATTCCCTGGCAGGAGTGAGCCCTGAATGCAGAGCCAAGAATAAGTCCTGAGTACTAGTGGTTGTAGCCCCCAAATAACATAATACAAAAATTAATGGATCATGATGAAGAATGTAATAAGAAATGAGAATTATAACACCTTGTAAAGACTTCCTGTCTCCTGGTGGGAAAATACAAATTTGGAACAGAGAGTTTGGAATGACATGTAAAGGGATTCAAATCTATGGTTAAACAGTTTGTTCTTTATTCTATTGATTATAGAAACTATTCTTTGTTTAGTAAGAAAAAATAGAATAATAAAATGGTTTTTGAAGTATTGATCTGGCATTAATGTATGACATGAATTCAAAGACTAATAAGTTAGAAGCAAGCAAACTATTGAAAAATTACACAATAATTAATATATAAGTCAATTTGTATCTGAACCAGTGAGGTTCAATAGGCAGTTAAAGAGATGAATTAAAGAGAATGGAGCTTCATTCTTGACTACATCTTATCAGTAGAGTGAAATTTTAACTTACGCCTTCAATCAACATCACTATTATTTTAAAAAAATTAAAAATTGAATCACATTGAGGACACAGTTACAAAGTTCTTCTTGATTGAGTTTCAGTCATATAAGTCATATAATATTCCAACACCCATCTCTTTACCAGTGTACATTTCCTACTACCAACGTCCCTAGTTTCCCTCTGTCTGTTCACTTCCTGTCTCTATTGCAGGCAACCCTTCTCTTTTACTCTGTCTCTCTCTCTCTGTCTCTCTCTCTGTCTCTCTCCTTTTAGCCCTATGATTTGCAGTACAGATACTGAAAGGTTATCAGGTATATCCCTTCACCTACTTTCAACACTCGTTCCTGTCCAAAATGATTATTTCCAACATTATTTCTTACTTCTATCATTATCCTACTGGTCCCTTCTATATCCTTACTGACCTTCACTCCCCAAACACTAATGAGGGAAGCTTCCAACCATTGAGAAGTTCTCCTGGCCCCAGATTTCCCTGGCCTTGGATATTAGTCTCAAATGAATGCAGTCATTCTGTATCTGTCTCTTCTGACTCATTTTCATTCAGTATGATACTCTCTATGTCTGTCCATTTATATGCAAATTTCATGACTTTATTTTTCCTAATGGCAGTGTTGTATTCTATTGTGTAGATGTACAATAGTTCCTTTAGACAGTTATCTGTTCTTGGGCACTTGGGTCGATTCCAGATTCTGGCTATTGTGAATAGTGCTGCAGTGAATATAGAAGTACAGATGATGTTTCTTCTGTGTATCCCAGGGTATATTCCCAGAAGTGGAATTTTGGGTCAAATCTGAGCTCAATTTTTATATTTTTGAGAAATAGCCATATTTTTTTCCAAAAGGCTGGACCAATAGGCATTCCCACAAACAATGAAGGAGAGTCCCTTTCTCCCTTCATCTGCACCAGCACTTGTTGCTATAGTTCTTTTGGATATGTGCCAGTCTCTGTGGTATGAGATGATATCTCATTGTTGGTTTGATTAGCATAACCCTGATGATTAGTGATGTAGAGCAGTTCTTCATATGCCTTTTGTTTATCTGAATTTCTTCTTTGAGAAAGTTTCTGTTCATTTTCTCTCCCCATTTAAAAAATATTTATTTTTAGAAAATTGTTCACAGTTATTTATTACATTCAATATTCTAATACCAATCCCACCACCACTATTTCTTATTATACCAACCACCATCCAAACCTGGCCCAATAGCAGGCCCTAATGATTGATTTTGTATTGACAACTTGTTGCTAAAGGGTAAGCCTGTGTGTTAAATTTTTTTTTTAATATTGGTTGCCTTGTACTTTACATTTTGATATGCTACTCTTGGTAGGTCATGCAGAGTATGAAATGTCCTGTGGATATGACATATTGATTCCTCCCCCATTTTTTATGGTGTTGGATTTTTTTCTTGTAAAGTACTGCCAGCGTCTTATATGACCTTGATATTAACCCTTTGTCAGATGAGTATTGGGTAAATAATTTTCCCATTCTGTGGGCTATCTCTGTATATTAAACATTATTTTTTGAGGTGCATAAGTTTCTTTTTTAATTTTTATTAGTGAGACACCATGAGATACAGTTGTAGATTTACAATTTTTTTGTGTTTGGGTTTCGATTATACAATGATCAAATACCCATCCCTCCACCAGTGCCCATTTTCCACCACCAGTATCCCTCCCACACCCATCCCCCCCATCCCACCCTGCCTCTGTGGCAGGGTATTCCCTTTTGTTCTCTCTCTCCTTTTGGGTGTTGTGGTCTGCAAAAGAGGCATTGAGTAGCAATCATGTTCAGTCCATAGACTACTTTCAACATGAGATGCATACGTTTCTTATTTTATCTTTATCTTTGCTTCTGCTTGCTTGTTTAGTGAAGTTTTATCTTTGAAGATACATTTACTTTCAGTGTTATGGGGTTTTGCCTACGTTTTCTTCTATGTACCTTATGAATACAGGTCTGATGTTAAGATCTTTAATTCATTTTGATCTGACTTCTGTGCATGGCATAAGAAAGAATTCTAAATTCATCTTTTTCACATGTAGTTGCCCAGAACCACTTGTTAGAGAGGTTTTCCTTGCTCCACTTCATACTTGTTCCTTTATCAAAGATTAAATGATCATATATTTGAGGGTGTGTGTCAAGTTATTCAACTCTATTCCATTGGTCAGCAGGTATGTCTTTATCGCAATACCATGCTGTTTTAATTACTACCACTTTGTAGTACAGTTTGAAGTTAGGATAGGTAATGCCTCCCATCTTCTTTTTAATATCACTATTCTTGAACCACTTAACCTAGCTCCGTTTGAAGAACTGAGATTGTACACTGGTCTTGCTTGATCCTCTTACTTCTAAATGTCTGCGTGTGATCATCTGAGTTCCCTGAAAAGAGAATGTGTATAAACTATCAGAGAAACTACTGTGCATATGTAGCAAACTGATAATATGAAAACTGGGTGATCTTTGGAAGGACAGCCATGCTCAGTTGCCAGTACAGGAGGACACCTTTTAAAATTCTATGATTGTCTAGGAATAGAAAATTTCATTCTAAGACTTTGAATGACTGATTTATTTCTCTTTTTTATTCCAGGAGTCCTGGATGGCGTCTTGTTCAGCACTACTCTCTGCTTAGATGCGGTGCAGCACTGGGGCAAGCAGTATGATACCCACAACCTGTATGGCTACTCCATGGCAATTTCCACAGCAGAGTAAGGCCACTATTGTTATGCTTTCATGGTATCTTGTGGTTGATCTGAGTAGATCTGCACATCAGTTTGTCATTTTAGAGAACTCTGCAAGATAAGCAGAGCTAATGATATTGAATGAAAGAAGTGACTACCTGGCACATAGGGAAGAAGGAACCTATCATATATTTGTGGGAAGCATAAAATAAGAGAAAAAATAATGGCAAAAATGAATGAATGACATTGAAGAGTAGCTTGAATGAGGTCCAGGGATTAATCAGTAATTTGTAAAAGCAGAAATCAAGTCCATTTCTGTGTAAGTCTGGAAACCACACATGTTCCTTTGGGTCACATTGTGTAGAATAGAATATGAAGGACTGAGTAGCTTTCAGATCTCAAATGCTTTGGAATTTTAGATACTGACTCAGCATCTGTTCCCGTGTTTTATCTACATTTGTGTGTGAACCCATTCGATAGGGAGGAAAATGCACTGGTAATCACTCCTCAACACTGTAACAAAAAGAGAGTCGGACCCAAATCCCAAATAGTACCACAGTCATAGATACAATTTCATCCTTAATTGAAATTGATTGGAAAAAGTTATAGAGCAAAGCTTTCCAGGATGTACTGACTGATGTGATAGGACAGCTAGAAGGGTGCTTGCCTTGAGGGACTTAATCCACAGTACCACAAATGGTCTCCAAGTCCCACCAGGAGTTATCTCTGAATGCAGAACCAGTGTGAGCCCTAAGCACTGCTTAATGTAGCCCCCAAACAAAAATAATGTGAATCGGATTTCAAGTTAAAATTGCAGATTATTCATATTATGTTTACTTATATAAGTGCACTGGTACAAATAGAATTCTTTTGGTATTTTTTTTTATTTTCAAAGTGTTGTTCACAGTAATTTATTACATTCAAAATTTCAACACCAATCCCACCACCATTACGCCTTCCCCACCACTATTATTTAAAATTTCCCACCACCAACCAAGTCTGCCCCCAAATCAGATGCTAAATAATTTATTTTGTATTGCTTGTTATGAATATTTGACCAAAAATGTTCTAAAAAGTTTTCCTTAGAGAAAAGTGTGTAAAAATGGTTGTATCTCATCTTGGAGCCATTAAGCCTCTGAATTAGTGATCATTAATATGTTGTTAGAGTTTGAGCGATATATTTATATATGTACATATGTATATATACTTATAAAGTAAAGTAAAGTAAAGGCCCTCCCGTTGATCATCGATCTGCTCGAGCGGGCCCAGTAACGTCTCCATTGGAGACTTTGTTGTTACTGTGTCTGGCATATCGAATACTCTCAGTATTGGCTAGTCCGAAAGTAGTGAGTGGTCGCAAGGTCAACCTAAAGTCAACCTGCAGCAATATACTTATAAGTATTTTTTAATCAAGATTGGTTGTCTTTTACCTTATGCCCATCAAACATGGTATGTTACTCTTGCTATATCAGTGGCATAATTGTATGAAATTCCAGACTGCATGCTCTTAGAATTCTAAAATTTTTTCTTAGGGTGCTAGAGTAAGTCACAAATAGAATTCTTAAAGATATCTTCTTATTGCATCTGTATATTTAAAGTATTTCTAGGTAAAGATAATATTACTTTAAGAAATTTAAAAAGAGAATTTAAGAATATTAAAATGAAATTCCAAAAGGATATTAGTAAATTTATTTTTGTGTATGTTTAAAATGACCTCCTGTGACAGATCAATGCATATACATAAGTGTCAAGTTAAATTTTATCTTTCACAATCACGATCACGACCATCCTGTTGTTCGTGGATTGCCTCGAGCAGGCCCCAGTAATGTCTCCTTCATCCTAGCCCTGAGATTTTTTTTAAAAAGTGCCATATTCAAGGCTCTTCCAGGGTTAGGAGAATGAGCCCCATAATTGTTAAAGGTATTTGGCATATTGGGTACACCACGGGGAGTTTGCCAGACTCTGCCATGTGGGCAGGTTACATTTGGTAGCCTGCTATTCTGTCCAAAGTAAGAATGAGATAATAAGGTGTCGTGCAGCCGCCAATGCGGCCCCGTGCTTCTGGGAGCTGCGTTTTATAGTCTCTGGGTCTTGGCTGTTGATGGTATTACATGGCGCCAGGGGGCCAGTTGGTGGGTGTGACCCCTGCCTACTGGAATTTGGAGGATCTGGGTGGAGGATGCTCAGCGCTGATCTGAGCAGGCTTGGAGATCTCAGCCCCGGGACCTGCATGCCTTTGTTCCTCTGCCAGTACCCTCATGCATGTGGAGAGTGGTCTCAGCATGGTGGTGGTTGGTTCTGGAGGTCTTCGGCTGCCGGAGCCCTGGTCTGGCCGGGGAGGGAAACTCAACCCGCTCCCCTCCAAGGGGCCCCAGCGAGAACGGCCAGGGGTGAGGGCAGGAGACTCTGCGCTGTTCTCTTCCGGGAGCTGCGTTTTATAGTCTTTATTTTATAAAAATTGTATGCCTTTAATAACTAGTCTTTTAAAGACTGATTTTAAAATTATTTGAAATGATGACTTTAATGATGTCTGTAACACATCTTAAAACACAACAAAGCACAACATAAACATACTGATGTGATCTGGTCCCATGAACAAACTTTTTAAAAAAATTTATTTATTTATTTTATTGAATAATAAAAGGTGCTGGAGCAATAGCACAGCGGTAGGGCGTTTGCCTTGCACGCAGCCAACATGGCCAACCCGAGTTCGATTCCTCCGCCCCTCTCGGAGAGCCCGGCAAGCTACCGAGAGTATCTCGCCCGCACGGCAGAGCCTGGCAAGCCACCTGTGATGTATTCGATATGCCAAACACAGTAACAACAAAATCTCCAATGGAGACGTTACTGGGCCCGCTCGAGCAAATCGATGAACAACGAGAGGGCCTTTACTTTACTTACTTTACTTTATTGAATCACCATGAGATATAATTACAAGTTTTCATGTTTGAGTTACAATCACACAATGATCAAATTACCATCCCTCCACCAGTGCACATTTCCACCACCAATCTTCCCAGTATACCCCTCTTTCCCACACTCCCCTTGCCTCCATGGCAGACAATTTCTCACATACTCTCTCTCTACTTTTGGGAATTATGGTTTGCAATACAGAAAAGTTTTCATGTTTGGTTCTTTATCTACTTTCAGCACACATCTCCCGTCCCGACCAATCCCTTCAGCAATTATTTTCTTTGTGATCCCTTCTCTATCCCAGCTGCCAACTCCCCTCACCCTCCCCACCCCCCACCGCTCATGAGGCAGCAATCTTTCTGGTCCTTGTATCTATTGTCTTTGGGTATCAGTCTCATTTTATATTATTTTATACTCCACAAATGAGTGCCGTTGTTCTATATCTGTCCCTCTCTTTCTGACTCATTTCACTTAGCATGATACTCTCCATGTCTATTCACTTCATCTCTCCTAACAGCTGATAGTATTCCATTGTGTAGATGTACAAAGTTTCTTTAACCAGTTGTCTGTTCTCGAGCACTTGGGTTGTTTTCAGATTTTGGCTATTGTGAACAGTGCTGCAATGAACATATAGGTACAGATGTCATTTCTACTGTGCTTTTTGCGTCCTCAGGATATATTCCCAGAAGTGGTATTGAGGGGTCATATGGAAGCTCAATTTCTAGTTTTTGAAGGAATGTCCATATTGCCAAGAACAACCTTTGAGGAGAGTACTAGAAACAAAGGAGCCGGGGATTACTCACTGTGTAGATCCTCGTGTTGTGGCTTTCTCCCTTGAGCTGGAGCACACTAATACCTTCTAACTCCCCAAATCCCTCTCTTTCTCTCCTAGAGCTGCCAAGAAAGTATTCCCTGGAAAGAGGAGCTTTATACTCACCCGTTCCACCTTTGCAGGATCTGGCAAGTTTGCAGGCCATTGGCTAGGAGACAATGCAGCTACCTGGGATGACCTCCGCTGGTCCATTCCTGGCATGCTTGAGTTCAATCTTTTTGGTATTCCAATGGTCAGTCCATATTTTAAGCACTTTCACAAACCTCCATTCTTAGAAATTCCCATTCTAGAAACTTTCCAAATCATAAGGCTCTCCTTTATACCCTGCATGGCCAGATATTTGGTCTTTTGAGTGCACATGTTCTTTTGAAAGTGGAGCACACACACGAGGTGGAAGTGATAGTACAGTGGGTAGGGCATTTGCCTTGCACGCAGCAGACTCGGGTTCAATTACCGACATTCCATATGGTCCCCCAAGCACTGCCAGGTGTGATTCCTGAGTGCAGAGCCAGGAGTAACTTCTGTGCAATGCCAGGTGTGACCCAAAAAGAAAAAAAAAGGAAAGTGGAACACATAAGTCTGATCCCATGGTACTCTTTCTTCGGCTGCCTTATCAAGATAAAAGTACAACAGCACAACCTGGTACAATAATATACTCAAGTCCTTATACATACAAGTCCTTGGATCCTTTCAGAAACTGAGCAATTTTCTGAATACTGTACTCAGAGAGGCATATGATGCTGCCTGCATTCAAAACAGCTTTGGAACGTTTTAGTTAAATTCAACATATGTATCCACTGAGGTCATCTACATGCAAGTTGTTGACTAGGTATGCCTGGTGATGATGACAAATGAAAGAACTATACTGTTAGAAATAGCTTTTCTTTCAACAAAAACTTCACAATTTAGTAAGAGAAGATATAGATGCAAGAAAATAGTCATGACAAGTGGCAAGAGGGACGTATAAATCAAAGAAGATATAATAAAATGTTAGGATAGATGTTGAGACAGGGTTTACTAATTAACTACCTCTGACAACAATATCCCTTATATGAGGGAGTTGGAGGATAGAGTGGAGATAAATCCTTTGGAGAAGATCTCACTTAACTTTGAAAAAAAATACACATTATTAGGTTCACAAGGTCAGTTCAGAAGTTAACATAAGCAAAAGTAATGGGGGGGGCTCATTTGATGTGATTCTAAGGATTGATGTTTATAAGAGGAGGCAATGCTTTGCGGAAGATTGCTTGGAAGGAGGTATTGAGGACTAAAGGAGTAGGCCCCAACATTATAGAGTATATTTTAATAAAGGAGTGGCTGTGGAAGTGTGGCCTTTGGAAAGCTAATTCTGATAGTGTGTGGGCAAAGTAATAATAGCTTGGAAATGGAATGATAGTAGAGGGAGTAGAGTGCTTGCCTTGTGAGCAGCTGACCCGCGTTCAATCCTTGACACCCCATACGGTTCCCTGATATCTTCAGGAGTGATCCCTGAGCACTGAGCTAGAAGTAAGTCCTGAGCACCAGTGGTGGACCCAAAACAAAAAGATATATATCATCAGTATTTCTAATTACTAATGATCAAAAAAGAGATTTACTTATAATACCCCATTTGCTAAAACCATATGTACTCATTAATGGGTACTTTAATACAAGGAGGAAACTGAGGCACCGAAAAGGAAAGCAATCTACTCAAGCCAACTAAGGGAACAGAGTGGACACAGGGTATTACTCATTTCTGAGCACATTGTATTAGCCTCCTTGGGAAGAGGTCAACAAAGTTCATTTGGGATAGGAATCTCAGATGGGGTTGAGGAATTAAGCACACGTGATGCTTGGGTGTCCTTTCAGGTAGGGGCTGACATTTGTGGCTTCTTAATGGACACCACTGAGGAGCTCTGCAGGCGCTGGATGCAGCTGGGAGCCTTTTATCCATTCTCCAGAAATCACAACGGCCAAGGTTTCGTGGTAAGACTCCCAAGAGATCCCATCGGAATGAACATGGCACACAGTGGGACTGGATTCTGTCTGTGTCCTTGGCAAGATGTCTGTGGATACAGTTCCTGTAGGTGCTTCACTCTGGTTAATAAATGCTGCTGTTTGCAGTGGACCAGAGCTCGCACTGCTTCGTTTACACACATGCTGTCCCAGCCCCTGTGCCTGCTCATACTACCTCCTGGGAATGGTGGGTCTAAGGGGTACTCTCTGTGCACATGAACTCCATTGCTTATTTTTCAATAGGAATTTAATGAGGCAATACTTTAAAATGAGGCATGCAGCAGCCTGCAGGGAAAAGCACCCAAAGCTGTGAATGAGACGGTGAGATGCAAGGTGAAGAATGGCCACTTTCTTGGGGAAGTGATGACCCGTTGTTTAACTGGGATGCCAGGAGGCCACTAAGGTCTTTTTGCAAAGAAACTCCGGGTTTTTATTAATGGAGCCTGAAACCTTGCAGACGCTTCTGTTATCAATAACCGTATTGCATTTACAAACCCTTGTTTCCCTCATAGGATCAGGACCCTGCTGCCTTTGGAGCAAATTCTCCATTGGCGACTTCCTCCAAGAAATACCTGAACATTCGCTACACCTTACTGCCCTACCTCTACACCCTCTTCTATCGCGCCCACACCAGGGGAGACACTGTGGCGAGGCCTCTTATGCATGAGTAAGTTGACCAAACCTAAGGAATTTTTTCAATGCATGTGGATGTCATTGACTGTGTCATCAAACACCAGAGCAAAGGCTAAAGTAGTCTCTCATTAAACGTAGGGACATATGTAAAACTCTGGAATCCAGTTGGTATTTGCAAAGCTCTTACTGCCTACATACTAAATTAGGGATTCAGTGTTTGTCTTTGTAGACTGTTCTCTTTGTGGGAGAAAATTACCCTCCAATTTCTGAGACTTGGTGTCTGTTCTCTGTTCTGAAACCAACTAATTCTCTTAGAAAAATCATCCAAGTTCTTTCTTTTGAATCATTGAAAAGATTCAACATCCAGATGGTAACCAACTCTTCTGCATCACACTATATTCAGACTTTAGGCACAAGTCTTCCATTTAATAAAATCATGAATTCCAGATTGGTTATTTCCTACTAACAAATAAGGATAGCTAAGGACCTCTCTTTTTATAAAAAAATTATTTATTTATTTTATTGAATCACCATGAGATACGCAGTTACAAGACTATTCATGATCAGGTTTCAACCATACAATGTTCCGACACCCATCCACCAGTGTACATTTCTCTAACCAATGCCCAAAGTTTTACTCCTTCCACCTTAGCCCGTCTCTATCTCTATGGCAGGCACCTCTCTCTCTCTCTCTCTCTCTCTCTCTCTCTCTCTCTCCTCCATTTTGGGCACTATGGGTTTGCAATGCAGATACTGAGAGGTTATCATGTTTATTGCTTTACCTGTTTTCAGCATACAGTTCTTTTCCTAATAGTGATCATTTCCATCTATCATTGCCATAGTGGTTCCTTCTCTATCCCAACTGCCTTCTTCTCCAGCACCTGGGACAGGCTTCCAACTGTGGACCAATCCTCCTGGCCTGTGTTTCTACTGTCCTTGGGTATTAGTCTCATATTATGGTTTTTTTTTCTTCTGTCCCACAAATTAGTGAAATCATTTTATGTCTGTCTCTCTCCTTCTTACTCTTTTTGTTCAACATAATACTCTCCATGTTCATCCATTTATAAGTGAATTTTATGACCTCAGTTTTCCTAACAGCTGTGAAATATTTTATTCTATAGATAAACCATAGTTTCTTTATCCAGTCGTCTAAAGTACCTCTCTTTGTCAGAACACAGTTGCCTCCCTTCTGTGTCTGACATTCTAAAGCTTGACAGCACATTGCTGCATAATTCTTATGGACCTATTACTTTGGGAAAAATTTATCCACCTCCTGAAACTCCCATTTGAAAGGCATATGGCCTGAAACAGAAAAAATTGTAAATTATCTGTTACCTTGTTGGGGTTGGAAGTAAAGTAAGTAAAGTAAAGGCCCTCCCGTTGGTCGTCGATTTGCTCGAGCGGGCCCAGTAACGTCTCCAGTGGAGACTTTGTTGTTACTGTGTTTGGCATATCGAATACTCTCAGTAGCTTGCCGGGCTCTCCGAGAGGGGCGGACATGTGCTGGAGCAATAGCACAGCGGTAGGGCGTTCGCCTTACAAGCGGCCAACATGGCCAACCCGAGTTTGATTCCTCCGCCCCTCTTGGGGTTGGGAGGGGATTGATTTTAGTTTTCTTCTTAGTACTCAGTTGAAGTTTTAAAATACACTGCAAATTCATTAATTTTTCAAGGACGGGCATAGAAAATTAAGTTACTGTCTGAAATCATTGCCTAGTATAGGTAATGAAAAAGGAATTTTTTTCCAACCTCAGAGAAGAATCAGGGTATGTGGGCTGGTGGGTTGGATATGATTGCAGAAGAAGGGCAGTGGGGTTTGAGCATATGTCAGAGTAATTTGGAAGGAGTTGCCCCAGGAGACAGCTCACTTCTTTTGGTCAGCTTGTGCGGAGAACTATTAAGAACATTACCTGCATCTCAATGGCCATCTCTCCTACTTCCAGGTTCTACACTGACAGCAACACGTGGGATATGCACGAACAGTTCTTATGGGGTCCTGGCCTTCTCATCACACCTGTGCTGCAGGAGGCAAGTGTGCCCCAACCAACACACTCTTCTCAGTTTTTATTCCTGTTGTACCCTGCATGTCCCTTCCTGCAATCATTGCTCTTGACTTTGTTCCAAAGAGAATCACGGATCACGGATCATGGTCCTCCCGTTGTTCATCAGTTTGCTCAAGCAGGCCCAGTAGCGTCTCCATCATGAGACTTGTTGTTACTGTGTTTGGCATATCGAGTATGTCACGGGTAGCTTGCCAGGCTCTGCCGTGCAGGGGAGATACTCTCGGTGCTTGCCGGGCTTTCCGAGAGGGGCAGAGGAATCAAACTCACGTCGGCCATGTTGACTGCGTGCAAGGCAAATGCCCTATCACTGTGCTATTACTCCAGCCCTCCAAAGAGAATATCAAGAGATATTTAAAAGATACCAAAGAGGATATCCAAATTGATATCAATATTGATAACATCTGAAAAACTACTTCCATACATTTTTTAAGCAACAAGTTAAAGACTTAAGTATATGGTGGGACTGGTGAGACCAGGTTCCCAGGTAGTGTGGAAGCATCGTTGTCTTCCTGTAAGTTTGGGAGCCGTCTTCTCTGTCTCCAGAGCATCCCAGAAGACTTGCTCTCTGTCAAGAGGCAAGATAGGACAAAGACCAGGAAGATTGTTGTCTCCTCTGCTTCTTGATGATCAGAGAGAGGACATGTGCCTCAACCTTGAAAGGGACAGAATAATGGCACTCATCTCTGTGGTCTGTTGGGAATCCACTGATAAAAGCTGGAATTAAAAAAATTGGGAAAAAAGGGGGGCTGGAGAGATAACACAGAGCGTAGGACGTTTGCCTTGCATGCGGCTGACTCAGGTTCAATTCCCAGCATCTCATATGGTCCCCTGAGCACCGCCAGGAGTAACTCCTGAGTGCAGAGCCAGGAGTAACCCCTGTGCATTGCCTGGTGTGACCCAAAAAAAGTAAAATAAAATTGGGGGCCATGCCTGGTGATGATCAGGGGTTAGCCCTGACTCTGCACTCAGTAATCTCTCCTGGATGGGCTCAGGGCATCATATGGGATACTATTGATTGAACCCGTGCTGTCCACATACAAGGCAACTGCCCTACCCACTGTAATATTTCTCTGGTCCCCAAATCTGAAGGTTTTTTAAAGCATAATATGCTCCATAAATTATGATAATGATGAAGATAAAAATAAATATGTCTTTTGCCTTTCGGGGTGGAGGAATGTTTGCCAAGTTATTGCTACTATTCCTATCAGAAGACAGAGGATAGGAGCTATTTGATAACAAAAACAAAGGCCATTTATGTACTCAGTTAAATGCGAAGTAAAAAACATTCCTTAGTAAATATTAGAAATGAAGAACAATATCTTTTTTGATTCCAGGGTGCAGTCCAAGTGGAGGCATATGTACCCGATGCTGTCTGGTATGATTATGAGACTGTGAGTATCTTTGACTTTTTCTTAAACTCCCTGAGGACAAGCTGCAGCTATAAGAGAAGGTGTGCACAAGCACATCCATTTGTATGACTGAGTAGTGTTTCCCTAGTGTTTGCTGCAAATCTGTAGCTAAATTAAAGAAGTAAGTCTAGGTTGCTTTGTTAGAATCTTGATAATATCTGAAAAAATACTTCCATATACTGTATTTTAGCACAAGGTCAACTTCAGTATATTATTCAGTAAATTATTGAGGGGACCAATGGACAATTTGACCTTGATTGGTAGTCAGATTACTTGTTGTAGGAAAGAACAATTTCTATAATATTTATCTAGTAGCCTCATTTTGATCAAAATGTTCTCAAAATTTCCCAGCCAATGTAAAACTGATTACTCTGAATTTTCTTCTTCTAATGCATGATTGATTAAACAAGTCATTGAGTTGGGTAGAGAGATAAGAGAAGTGTGGATAACTGAGCACATAAACTAGAGGTGAGTCTGTGATGGGACTAAGGTATTGGCTTTGTCTGCCTGCCTCAGGGGGCTATACTGAACGGGAGGAAGGAAAGAAAGTCCATGGAGCTTCCTGAAGACAAAATTGGACTGCACCTCCGAGGAGGCTACATCTTCCCCACCCAACAGCCAGCGACAACCACAGAGGCCAGGTACTGCCCAGTTGGGAGTTTCCACTGAACAGAAATGATGATAAAGCTGAGCAAACTGTTTTTATGTGTTATCCAATGGGAGAAGCTAAAGCATGGTGTGAGTGGTGGAGAGGAAGATCTCTAGGGTATGTGTGTGTTTGGCTTAGGGGTGTGTGTCATCAAGCTGCCCCTTGGGTTGTGCATGGTAGCTTCTTCTTTTCTTATTGTATCACTCTGAGAAACAAAGCTGCAAAGTTGTTTATGATTGGGGTTCAGTCATAAAAAATTCCAATATTCATCCCTTTGTCCCTTCACCAGTGTACATTTCCTATCACCAGTCCCCAGTTTTCTTCCAGCCTGCACTCCCTCGTCTGCCTCAATGACAGGCACTTCTCTCTCTTTCTCTCTCTCTCTCCCTCTCTCTGTCTAATATTCTCCCGTGGCATGTTCTTTTGTTTTTCTTGCATTTTGGATCACTCCCAGAGATGCACAGGGGTTACCTCTTGGCTTTGTACTCAGGAATTACTCCTGGCGGTGCTTAGGGGACCATATGGGATGCCGGGAATCAAACCCGGGTTGGCTGCGTGCAATGCTAATGCCCTAATCTCTGTACTATCATTCCAGCCCCCCCTGGCGTATTCTTTTTTAAAAGTTTTAAAAATTTATTTATTAAAATAAATTGTTCATAATTATATGTTACACTCAACATTTCATCACCAATATCTCCACCATTGCACCTTCCCACCACCGTTGTTTCCAATTTTCTCAACCACCGTTCAAGCCTGTACCTATCACAGGCCCTGAATAATTTTTTTTACATTCATTGTTATAAATAATTCTCAGAAAAATGATCAAAAAATATTTCCTTGGAAGAACGTGTGTGAAGATTGCTGTATCTCAACCCGGGAGTCAATCATTAAGCCCTTGTATAAAAGTTCACTAAAACGTTGTTACAGGTTAAAATTTGTGTGCTTATATTTTGTTAATTGAGATTGGTTGTCATCTATTTTACATCCCATCCAATGTGGTGTGCTACTCCTGGTTTATCAGTGATGTAAAGTTTGAGATGTTGCATGGCTGCAAATGAGGCTGTGCGCTCCAGGAATTCAAAACATTTTGAACGGAAAGATACTGGATGGTGATTTTGGGTGCCATTGATGACTCAGCCTGGCATGGAATCCGGAAGCATCTCTGCAACTTTCAAGATTCATTTATGAGTCTCTGGATCATTGTCGTTTAATGAGTTTATTTGGCACCAGAGGCAGTTCATGGGCATGACTGCTGAGGCTTCCAGAAGAACAGGGAGGTGTGGAGAGGTAGTCATCCTCTCTGAGAACCTAGAGATTTCAGTCACAAAACCTGCATGACTCAGTTTTTAAACAGTTAAATTTCTGGATGAGGCTTATTCGGAGTAGTGAAGTCCAGCCATGAGAATGGCAGCAATTGTGGAGTGTGGAGGTTTTCGGCTGCTGGGGCTTTGCTTGGGAAGGTGCTGGGTTCACCAGTTCTACTCTGGGGTTCCCTGGATGACTAATGCCCTGGTATCATTGTTTAAGAAATCTGTGATTTAGAGTTTTTTAAAAAATGATTGTAAAAACAAAAAACTTAATCTCTGCACCTCCTAAATCTATTGCATTTCTCTTCAAAACACACTGGCTACTATATGGTCAAAAATATCAGTGGTATTTTGGTCAGAACTGCTGGAACATTGGCCCTAAAACCTCTCAATTTCAGCAAATGAGTTCTGCCCCAGCCCAACCATCCATCCATCATGCTGTGCTTTTGCTTCATTTACTTTCATTTTTACATTATTGGTGTGTGTGTGTGTGTGTGTGTGTGTGTGTGTGTGTGTGTGTGTGTGAAGGGGGTGGAATGGGGTGGAGGTCCATCTTCCCTTTCCTATTACCTCAATGTTTCATTTTCTCCCACGGAGTAATTTTGTGATACGAAATGGGCTTAAAAGTTACTTGTGAACTTTCTGTCTCCTCATGTTCCAGTTCTCCCATTGCCCTGATTTAAGTCTCAAATCACAGACTCCCTTCCTACTAAGGAGGCTCACTCTGTATCTGTCTCTTAAAGAATTTCAGTGTTTTTAACAGACAGCAAATTGATTGGAGACTGGAGCCAGTATTTGAGCTTCCTTTTCTTTTTGATTTTACAAAATGTAGATTTTGTCCTAATGATATTTATGAAAAACACATTTATGTTTAAGACCAGTTGGTTTCCTTTTCTCTATCATCCACCTTTAGGCTCTTCTGCATTCAGATACCAAAAGCATCTATTCAAAATGAAAAACTTCAGTTTGTTTTACTCCTAATTAAAGTTCAAGGGCTATTTATCTGAATAGTGCTTAGGGCCATTCACACCATGCTTCCACATTAACTTAAAAGCCATGTCTTCCCCTGATTCCTGCTGAGCCTGTCCTGGTGATCTGTGTTCCGGCAGGGCCCTAGAAACACCATCTTCTTGCTTTTTGCATTGACTCACCAGTCTGGTTTGCTGAAAATTACCAGGAGTGACCCTAAGAGCCCCCAAACACTATTTGGGAGGCCCTACTAAAACACACACAAACAAACAAAAACAAACAACCCAACCACTATCTCTCCTTAATATACTCTATGGACAAGGATCACCAAAATATCTCTCTTCTTAAATATACCCATTTATTTTACTACATCTATTGTTCAATTTTTACTTTCTTTCTTTGTCTTGACCATACCTGGCTACACTTTGCTATACTCACTGTTATCCTTCACATTTAACTCCAATTTCACCTGCAGAGATCGTCTCCAACCCTTGCAACAGAGGGAGTGATGCCACCATCAAATTTCTGAGCATTTTTTTCCTGGACTCTCTTGATCCATAGATGATTTTTCTTATATCTGTAATATTAAGTAGTTCAATTATCATTGTTTTATACTCTATATCTGAAAATTCTACTACCTCAAGTCATTAGGTGAATATAATCCTATGTGCTAGACAGTTTCTTTGTATGCTTATTAACAACTTTTTGTTTTCAAATTTGTTCATCTAAACATGGGTCCCTTCCTGTAGAAATAATTTTCACTACCTTAGGTCAGAAGTCAGGACTCCGCTAAGTCAGTGATCAAGGATATTGTGTTGTAGGTAATCTGGGATCAGGCAGTATTTGAGCATGTGGTTCTTTCTGGATCATCTAGGTCTTGGAACCCCTAGAAATGTCATTCTGAGTTCTTTTCATTTATTTTTTTTATTTTATAAAGTAGTACTGTAGCACTGTCGTCCTGTTGTTCATCGATTTGCTTGAGTGGGCACCAGTAATGTCTCCATTGTAAGACTTGTTGTTACTGTTTTTGGCATATCAAATAAGCTACAAGGAACTTATTAGGCTCTGGCATGGGGATTTTATAAAGTAGTAGTATATATTTTGTATTGTAGTATATATATTTTGTATTGTTTGTTATGAAAGACTGCTGAAAATGCTACAAAAAGTTTCACTGAAGGGCCATTTAGCCTTTCTATAAGAGATCACTAACATGCTTTTAAAGGTTGAACCTTGTGTGTGTGTGTGTATGTGTGTGTGTGTGTATGTGTGTGTGTGTATGAGATCTGTTATATTATTTTTTGGCATATCTAATACGCCACAGGGAGCTTGTCAGACTCTGCTGTGTGGGTGGGATACTCTTGATAGCTGGCTGGGCCCTCTGAGAGGCACATAAATATATTTCCCTCTACGATTTTATGGAAAATGGGTCGGGAGTGTTTTATGATGTGTCAGAGTTGTGGAAAGCGGCCTGGAGCATGGTGGCAGTTGGGTAATGGAGGTCGGTTGTGGAGGCTGGGTTCCTTGCAGCGGGGAGGGCTCTCACCTGCACCCGCTCTGGGGCGCCCCCCCGAGTGAAAACCAGCCTGGTGCAGAATCCAGTGGCATGGTTATGGGGTCTCATTCCCCTGACCCTGAAAAAGCCTACGATTGTTGGGAAAGCCGAGTAAGGAGAGGTTTTTAAAATCTGAGGGCTGGTAAGTGAAATGAGTCAGAAAGAGAGGGACAGATGTAGAAAGTCTGCACTCATCTGAGGAATATAAAGTTACAGAATGGGAGACTAACATTCAAGAATTGTTGAGATAAGTACCAGGAGGTCTGCTCCATGGCTTGGAAGCCGGCAGCAGATACTGGGGGGAAAAGGCAGCTCAGATAGTGAAGGGAACTCCAAGTAAAGGGTGTTTGGAGGATTCGATCAGGGTGCGAGATGCATGTTGAAAGTAGACTATAGACCGAACATGATGCCACTCAATACCTCTATTGCAAAGCACAACATCCTAAAGGAAAGAGAGAGCAAAAGGAAATGCCCTGCCACAGAGGTGGGGCAGGGTAGGGGGGATGAGTTGGGAGGTGGGAGGGCTACTGGGTTCATTGGTGGTGAAAAATGGGCACTGGTGGAGAATGAATACTCGATCATTGTATAACTGAAACCCAAGCACGAAAGTTTGTAAGTCTACAACTGTACCTCATGGTGTTTCACTAATAAAAAAAATGTAAAAAATATAAATCAAATTAAATCAAATCCCAGGGCTGGGATAAACTGAGACGTTACTGGCACCCACTTGAGTAAATCGATGAATAATGGGATGACAGTGATACAGTGGTATATATATATATATATATACACACATATGTAAAAAATATTTCCCTCTAAGACTGGTTGCCTTCTACTTTGAACCCCATCAAATATGGTGCGGTGCTCTTAAAATATGGGTAGGGTATGTGGTATGAAGTGTCCAGGAATAGGTTCACTTGGGGCTGAGATTCGGTTCGTACATGTGGAGAATGGCTATGAGAATGGTGGCAGTTGAGTTCTGGAGGCTTTGGGCTGCCAGGACTGGGTGCCTTGGGATGGGGAGGGGTCTCAGCCACGTCTTTTAGGGCACCCCATCATTCTGCATTCTTATAAGTACTTTACCTTCTGAGTCACACTTTACATTCTGCTTCATTGACGAAAATTGTTGAATTTGTCTTCTAATATTCTAGATCCTCTTTAGAGCTATGGTCTATTTGTATTTGGATCTCTTGGACTTCTTAGTAAATGAAAGATTCTCAACAAACATGTGTTACATGAAAGTCAATAATATAGTTGACTTTCAGAAGACAGAGTGGAAAGTTGAACTCTAAAAGACCACAATGCTGAATGTGGGGTCACTGGAGGATTAAGCAGGAGCAGGAAATTGGGAGTTAGGTATCGATAGACCAGCAGAACAGCCATTGAAAACCATAGACTGAAATGGCCTTTCTCTAGAGTTATTTCTTTTTTCAGCTTTTAGTGCTTTTGAAATATTATTTTGTGATTTCTATAATATAAAGCTGGATACCAATTGTTTCACTCTTCTGTTAAAACAAACGGAGAATCAAATTAGGAAAGTTGTCATTACATAAAATGATTTTTAATCAGTTTTATTGGTTTGGGAGTCAAAGCAATTTTCACAATCAAGATCACGACCATCCTGCTGTTCATTGATTGTCTCGAGCAGGCCCCAGTAACGTCTCCTTCGTCCTAGCCCTGAGATTCAAGGCTCTTTCAGGGTTAGGAGAATGAGACCCATTATTGTTACTGGTATTTGGCATATTGGGTACGCCACGGGGAGTTTGCCAGACTCTGCTGTGTGGGCAGATTACATTCAGTAGCCTGCCAGTTGTCCAAAGTAAGCATGAGATAATTAGATGTCCAGGAGCTGGGTTTTATAGTCTCTGGGTCTTGGCCATTGATGGGATTACACGGCGCCAGGGGGCCAGTTGGTGGGTGTGACCCCTGCCTACTGGAATATGGAGGATCTGGGTGGAGGATGCTCAGCCCCGATCCGAGCAGGCTTGGAGATCTCAGCCCCAGAACCCGCATGCCTTTGTTCCTCTGCCAATACCTTCATGCATGTGGAGAGTAGTCTCAGCTTGGTGGTGGCTGGTTCTGGAGGTCTTTGGCTTCTAGAGCCCTGGTCGGGGCAAGGAGGGAAACTCAACCCGCTCCCCTCCAAGGGGCCCCAGAGAGGACAGCCAGGCGCGGGGGCAGGAGACTCTGGGGTGTTCCCTTCCGGGATCTGGGTTTTAATAATCCTGCTCTGGTTTCTCTTCAGATCGTATAAAACAATTTTCAATGAGGGAAAATATGTAAGTTCCCCAAGTGCAATAAACGTGTGTGTGTGTGTGTGTGTGTGTGAAACTGAGGATTAAACGCAATGTCTCATATATGCAAGACAAGTGTTTTATCACTGAGATACATCCCCAGGCTCTTTTGTATGTCATCATCCTTTTGAACCAATTATTGTCTACAATTTCTTTATCTTCTAGTCATCTGTATTCTAAAGAATAGCTGCATCCACAGCTTTAATTGTCCCTATTGCAGTGATTCGGGGACTTAAATTTCAGCTCCTTCCCAGTCTTTGAGGGTATTCTTATCTTCTCTGACTGAAGACTCTGATTCTACTGGAAGAGGCTCCTTTTGATCTTGACATATATGAAGAAACAGAACCTTCTGCTGTGGCTAATCTTCCTGAGTTGAAATCTGTGGAAAAAAATTCTTTGAATTCTAAGCCTGTCTCATACATGTATTATTTTCCACAGCCGAAAGAACCCTCTTGGTCTCATCATTGCCCTGGATGAGAAAAGACAAGCGAAAGGTGAACTCTTCTGGGATGATGGAGAATCGACAGGTGAGCGCTATTACTGCCATGTTGCTACACCCAAGCCTGCATCTTTGAGCTACTCCACCACTCCACAATGGAAGAAATCTCACTAGGCACAGAACTGTTAACCATTCTCGAGAAGTTTGGTTTGAGGTGTAATGCCTAGAGGTGGTGGCACAGGGACCAAAGGTGGAAAGAAAACACATGTCTACCTCTTAGAACTTTTACACTGCTGAGTTATGTAGTTCTAAGTTTTCTTTGTATTGCAAAGAACTTCTGAGAGAGAGGCTTTACCCTTCCTGCCATTTTTTTTTGCTAATAAGAATCTTTTAAAAAAAATTTTTATTAGCGATACACCATGAGGTACAGTTGTAGACTTACAAATTTTTGTGCTTGGGTTTCAATTATACAATGATCAAATACCCATCCCTCCACCAGTGCCCATTTCCCACCACCACGGATCCCAGTATACCTCCCACCCCCATCCCCCCATCCCTCCCATCCCATCCTGCCTCTGTGGCAGGGCATTCCATTTTGTTCTCTCTCTCCTATTGGGTGTTGTGGTTTGCAAAAGAGGTAATGGGTGACAATCATGTTTGGTCTAGAGTCTACTTTCAGCATGCTTCTCCCATCCTGGGAGGATTCTCCCAACACCCTTTATTTGGTGCTTCCTTCTTTATCTGAGCTCCCTTTTCCCCTAGCATATGTGGTTGGCCTCCAAGCCATGGAGTAAAATTCTTGGTACTAATCTCAGCCATTCTTGGGTGTTAGTCTCCTATTTTGTTACTTTATGTTTTTTTCTCCAAATACTTGTGAACTAATGTAAACAACATGAAGGACACACTCCTGTTAGTGAAACACTAACTTCACACTCTTAGCACCCCTGTTAAGAAAGCACTTTGTGAAGGTGCCTCGATCTAGCTGTGGGGCACCTTAGCCATGTTTCATACTGATGTTACTATAACTTAAGCATAGGGAACGGATTCACCTAAGACTCCAGTGGAAAATACTTCAAGTTGAAAGAAAAGGTCAAAATGAGGCTTGGCCTTGGTCTTGTCATTCATCAGAGGTAGCTTCTTGGAGAACCAGGGTAAAATCTGTTCCATCATGGCAAGCAGACAGCAGTCTGACTCACTTTTCTCTCACTTTCAGGTACTTTGGCCCAAGACAAACATATCTTCTATGAGTTTTCTGTCATCAACGTGAGTGCTGTGTGTGTTGTGTGTTGTATTTGTTATTGTTGTTTTTGGCCTCAGCTAGTGACACTTGGGGACTACTCCTGGTACCATGCTTGGGAAGCATGCTATTGGTGTTGAGGAGTAAACCCTGAGGTCCTGCATACGAAGCATCTGCTCCAGTCGTTTGAGTGATCTTTCTAGTCCACAGTAGCATATTTTTATAAAATTTGGGTGTGAGATTTGTCTATTAGCTCATGTGTATAATTACATTTTTAGTCATATGTTTTTATGACTACAGATGAGCACATTTAGTTTATGATTTGGCTCATAATACTTGAATCTCAAGGCAGTCAGTCTTTAAAAGTTCTGTTTTAAGAATGGTTGTCTATGTTGCTATATATCTCTTATCTTTATCCCTCACATATACATGGATTATTAACTTATGTTTTTATTTACTGAGTAAATATTAGTAATAACAGCTAAAAGCCATTAGAAAGCTTTGGGTAGGTGGCCTAAAATATATTGTTTGAGAACCTGTGTGTTATTGGTAAACACTTGTGCTTGTTTTATAGAACCGCTTGGATATGAAGCCTTTGCCTTCAACCTACAAAGATCCTAATAATTTAGAATTTCAAGATATTAAAATACTCGGGATCACACGTATTATTAATGTAACAGTGAAACACAATGGTGCTCCAACTCAAATGTCTCCTGAAGTCACTTATGATGATAAACTACAGGTAAAAGTCCATTTATTGGGATAGCCGATTAAGATTTTCATAGTTTACAATGTTCTTTTCTGACAAAGTTGCATGAATTTTTGATGGACCAAGGCATGCTTTAATACCTGGTTAGGAAAGACAGAAGGTTTGGAGAAGAGGAGTGACTGGGTTAGAATGAATTAGAGAGACAGTGCACATCCCCCCACCCCATTTTGGAAGTGGGGCTGGCACTAGTTCAGGTCTCGGCATTGTCAGGATTGAGGATGTTTTTCCTCTGTGAACTTCTTAGTTATAGCTATAATGGAGTTAGTTACAGGAGAATAAAAGAGTATTCAGGGAGGAAAAGATAAAAAGGAATAGACTCCTAAAGCAAGAGAGTATAGATTGGCCAACTCGTCCAAAAACCCATAGCTAATGTAAAGAGTGCTGCAATGAACAAACAATTGCAGATGTCATTTCGACTATACTTTTTTGCCTCTCTGGGATAAATTCCCAGGAGTGGTATCGCTGGGTCAAATGGGAGCTCAATTTCTAATTTTTTGAGAATCGTCCATACTGTTTTCCAAAAGGGCTGAACCAGTTGGCATTCCCACCAACAGTGATGGAGGGTCCCTTTCTCGCCACATCCACGCCAGCACCAGTTGCTTTTGTTCTTATGGATATGGGCCAGTCTCTGTGGTGTGAAATGATATCTCATTGTGATTTTGATCTGCATCTCCCTGATGATTAATGATGTTGGGAGGATCCGCCCAGGATGGGAGAAGCATGCTGAAAGTAGACTATAGACCAAACATTATTGTCACCCATTGCCTCTTTTGCAAACCACAACATCCAATAAGAGAGAACAAAAGGGAATACCCTGCTACAGAGGCAGGGTGAGATGGGGGGGATGGGGAGTGGGAGGGATACTGGGATCCGTGGTGGTGGGAAATGGGCACTGGTGGAGGGATGGACATTTGATCATTGTATAATTGAAACCCAAGTACAAAAATTTGTAAGTCTACAACTATACCTCATATGTCTCACTGATAAAAAAAATAAATTAAAAAAAAAACAAAAACCAAAAACCAAAAACCCATAGCTAAGGTCTGTGAATTCAACAGTTAGTTCGTTTCTGAAAATTTTGTTTTCCAAAGAGGAAAAAGTGACTAAGAGGGAAACTTTTACACGGGGCGGGCAACTATCAAAGTATTCTACAAGCAGGAATGGTTTTTCTAAAACGAGCATTTACACAGATGAAACACTCAGACTGAGAAAGTAGAACAAACCCATCTAAGGATTCTAAGGACTTAAAATAGCTTTGTGTTAATCCATACGTGTACAAATAGAATAGGCAAGATTCACTTTTGGAAAAGGATCAGTTTGGATTGAATTTGTGATCAGACTTCGAAGGGTCTAAGTGATCTCAACCACTGTCCATGGAGCCGTACTGTTTTGAAGTTGGGGTTGAAAACCCCTAGTTAGTTTGCTGCCATGGTTTTAACTGCCAATCCACAGACCAGTAGGTAGAACAGGTGTGCTAGTCTGAAGATGTAGCACTGTAGCACTGTCGTCCAGTTGTTCATCGATTTTCTCGAGTGGGCACCAGTAATTTCTCCATTGTGAGACTTGTTGTTACTGTTTTTGACATATCAAATACGCCATGGCTAGCTTGCCAGGCAATGCTGTGCTGGTGGGATACTCTCAGTAACTTGCCAGGCTCTCAGAGACGGACAGAGGACTCAAACCTGGGTTAGCCACATGCAAGACAAATGCCCTACCCGCTGTGCTATGGCTATGGCTCCAGCGTGGTTAAAGAACAAAGATCTGAGATATCCAAACTAGAAGGATCTATCTGAGCTTGTCAGCTCTTGCAAGTTCTGAGCATGCCTTTACTTGCTCTCTTTCTATTCATACAGATCGCCAAAATCACAAAACTTAATCTTATCCTGGGAGAAATGTATACCGTGGAGTGGGAACTAACAAGGAATGAAGATAAAATAGACTGTTACCCTGACCAGGATGGTGCCACCGAGGAGAAATGCATTGCACGTGGTTGTATCTGGGAGGTAACCATTGTGTTAACTGACATTAAGGCCTTTATACTTTACCATTTGTTAGCATAGCACCAGTTCCCATGTCAGCCCTTATAATCCTTGAAAAGAAAGGAATTCTGAAAGAAATCTAAATTTTTCTTCTGAATGTGAAGGATCAGTAGGAAGAGGGAGGGAATGTGGAGGGGATGTTTTCGTTTTTACACATATTTTACATGATGGCTAAGAATTCAAACTATGTGACTACTGAGGAGTGCATATGATACAAGGAGATTCAGACTCGGGATATGCATCAGTGATAGAATTTCAGGTATTGGGAAATGTCTGATTTTCCTTCCTATAAAATGCCTTCTCTAAACCCTTTTATCTGTTTATCCTCAGACCGTTGTGAAACTAACTTTGACTTTACTTTCCAGGAAACCAATGCTGAGCGAGTCCCTTACTGTTATTTTAAGGACAGTCTATACAATGTCCACAATATTCAGAAACTACAAAATGGGATTACAGCTTCCCTCACCCTAAAGCCCCAGGCTCCTGCTAGTGCTTTCCCCTCAACACCTGTGACACAGCTCAGTCTGAGTGTCACCTACCATAAGAATGAGATGCTGCAGTTCAAGGTAAGTGTTTACAGTATAAATGTCAAGTATTAGTGACAGTTTTCTAAGTTCCACAAAGCTTTGCTAGTCATTGTAACTGAATCCTGAGAGAAGTGTGCTCTTCTAAACTCTCCTGACTGCCATTTCATTATCTAAAAGCAATCAGAGAACAGGCAGATATCTTCCCATCTGGCAAGTACTAATGCAGAAAGAAAATGATCAGGAGGGCAATAATGCAAAAGGAGAGTCATATTGGGAGGTGATGAGTTAGTTGATTCATGTGCGGGATCCAGCTGAGTGAGACCTGATACAGGGAAAGAGATACAGAACAGTGTTCAACTTTGGGAGAGTTAGGAAGTAGGATGCTAGGATTTGGTGACTGATCATAGGTTGGTCAGCTGAGAGAGGAAAGAGCTGGAAAAACACTGGGTCCCTACTTTGCACCTCTACACAAGGTGGTAACAAGGTGGTAACATTCATTGGTCTGGGATCATTGAAAAGGTTTGTTTTGGGCTTATGTAAAATAAGACTGAGTTCCATTTTAGATACCGAATTTGGGGGATCTGTGAAAATAGCCAGAACAGTGTAGTGATCTTTTGGTTTCTAGGAATAAAATATAATACCGATGGACTATCTTTACATCTATTTTTCTGCAAAATTATTTTTCAGAGGCAGATATTTGTCCTTTCATCTTTACGTTTCTGAACTCTGGCATAGCGTATGTTAGATAGTTAGCATTCAGATGTTTATTGAGAGAGTGAGGGAATGAATGAAGGAAGCCAATGTAGCTTGCCTAAAAGGTTCTCATAATCTCATACTAAACTGTACTGGTTTCTTTTACAACATCTCATCAAGGATGATGCTCTTTCAATTAGCCATAAAGGTGATCATCATAGTGCTGAGACAGGGGAGGATTGAACTGGGCCTGAAATAAATAAATTTGCCTAAATTCCTTGCTGTGCTTCTTCTCCACTGTTTAGTCTGACTATATAGTAGCTCTCTCCACAATGTTTTCCTCTTTCTAATCTATTTTAATTCTCTGTGTCTTTGCATGTGTTTTTCTATGTGTTCTTTTTTTCTTTATTTAGTTAATGGTTGGAAGTTTTTTATACTCGGCCTATATTTTCCCCTCTAAACTGTCCCTGTTACCTAGATATAGCAGGAGACATTTTCTTCCCTCAGTCCATAGAGTCCTATGTGGTGGTCCTTTTCATTTTCTTTTTTTTTCTTTTTAAAAAAATTTTTAAAAATGTATTTATTGAATCACTGTGGGAAAAGTTACAAAGCTTTCAGGTTTAAGTCTCGGTCATGCAATGATCAAACACATTTCCCTTCACCAGTAATTATTTTTCAACACCAAGAACCCCAATACACTCCCCCTCCCACCCCTCCCAATGCCTGTGAGGCAGATGAATTCTAGTTAGCATTCTATCTACTTTGATTAGATTGTTTCGACAAAAGATGCACCATTATTGTTTAGAGTTTACACCCCAAAATCGGACCTGCTGAAAAGGCATTGCAAAATAATTTGTTTTCTACACCTGGTTACAAGAACCAAATGATGTCGCGCAGCCACGAGTTTGGATTTCTGATATTTTACTTATTAAGCCTGGAAGTATTTCTGCCGAGGGCAAGATAATTATGAGATTGGTTTCTGTGGCTCTGGAGCCATGGAGCCCTGGATTAACGCACAGTCCATTCACTTTTCTGCTGCAAGCTTCCGGGCTCTGCATTAAGTCCTTGTGCTTCTGGAGCCATGGCCATGCCGGAGAGCCGCTCGTGGGTGGCAACCCATGACCTCAGTAGGGCATGAAGGACGAGCCAGGAACGCCCCCCTTCCCATGTCCTTTTCATTTTCTTTTGGTGATCATTCTCTTCTTAAAGACAACATCTTCTTCAGTTTAGTAGTATGGCAAGCAGAAATAGAACGGATACATAATGAATCAATTTAGCAAGGGCAGTAATTTTTCTAATCAAAGTAGAGTTAATGTTTTTGGAGGGTATTCTTTTTTTTCAGTTTGGAAATTTTCAGGTATTTGTATATACTTGTGCATTTAAATACGATGCACTGAAAACATATTCATATATACATAAGCACCAACTAACCAGTATCAAAATGATTGTATTTCCATATTAATACATTCCTTAGAAATAAAATGCAATAGATTTGAATCATGTTAATTCTGATATTATTCTTTGGCATGTCAATAAAATCCAAATGAGCATGAAGGTAAGGCCTTCAGACTTTGTCAAAAAGGTCAAAATTCTATGAACGGTAGTTTTCAAAAGTACTGTTCTCACCTACAGTCTATTTCCTCTATTCTAGATTTATGATCCCAACAACAAACGCTATGAAGTCCCAGTTCCTCTCAACTTACCCAATACTCCATCCAGCACCCCTGAAGGTAGACTTTATGAAGTCGAAATTGCAGACAATCCATTTGGGATTTTAATTATTCGGAAGAGCACAGGCACCACCATGCAAGTATCTCCATGTCTGGTTTTGGAATTGGTGTTGATTAATTGTCTTTCTACATTCATGTCACTGCAGGTCATATTCTGAGTCAAAACATCACATCGTCCATCCTTTTATATCAATTCTTTTTGTCAAGAAATGTTCAGCCCACTAAGTGTAATTACCAAGGCAGTAGCAGAGACCTGGGGCTTCATTTAAGATATGTTGTAGAAGGTGGTTGTAGAAAATGAGTTCTCTCTTCTCATGACCAAAGAAAATGTAATTAGCAAGTAACAAATATAAACTCAAAATCTGCACAATGGAGTTTAAAATTGTGCAGCTACTATGTAGGAAAAAAACCTGGTGACCCTAGGATGCTATACTTTTGATGCTATGTTTAAAATAAACCTCTTTAAGGAAGTGACATTAAAATAGACCTGCTCAAATGAATGATTTTGTGTTTTGGAGGCAGATGCCAAGAAATTAATCACTGGGTCATATGAAAGTCATATATATATATATATAATGTTGATACCTATATGTATTTTTTGAGAAGTCTCCATACTATTTTCCACAGAGGCATTGGCACCAATAGTGAATGGTCACGGTCACGGTCCTCCCGTTGTTCATCGATTTTCTCGAGCGGGCCCAGTAACGTCTCCATTGTGAGACTTTGTTGTTACTGTGTTTGGCATATCGAATACGTCACGGGTAGCTTGCCAGGCTCTGCCGTGTGGGCGAGATACTCTCAGTAGCTTGCCGGGCTCTCTGAGAGGGGCGGAGGAATCAAACTCGGGTCGGCCATGTTGGCTGCTTGTAATGCAAATGCCCTACCTCTGTGAAGATTCCTTTTTCACTGCATCCCAGCCAACACTGATTGTTTCCATTTTTTTTATGTATACCATTTTCCATACTGTTAAATGGTATCTCATTGAAATTCTAATTTGTATTACACCAGTAAATTACAATAAACATGCTTTAATTATGCCTGGTGGCATGGTTGGCCATATGTCCCTTTGGGGGAAGTATTGGTTTATCTCCTTTTCCAATATTTTGATGTATCTTCTTTTTTGATGGGCCTTATTTTTTTGTTGTTGTTGAGCATTGGAGTGCTTGATGTAGTGTGGATATTAGTCTTTTATCTGATGTACGGTGTAGAACTGTTTTCTCCCACTTATGGGAGTGGTTTTTACTTTTGACCCTGTCAAACTTGTAATTTGATGTAGTACCCATTTTTGTTATTTTTGCTAATGGAGTCTAAAAAATGACTTCATATTTGGAGAATTCTGCAGATATTTTTCCTTCACTTGTTTTATGAATTACTAACATTTTCATTCAACTTTGAATGAATTTTTGTGTATGATCCAGTATCATTGCTGCACTGAGTGTAATAACTAGGATTTAAAACGATTTACATATCCAATGACAGATAAATGAATGAATATAGAGTATATCATGTTAGGTCAAATAACTCAAATAAGTCAGAGAGGAAGGGCAGTATCAGATCTCAATCACCTTTGGTATGCAGAGCAAACCACAGCAAAAGACAGGGAGTGGACAGTATCTAACACTGACAAACACCTAGCCTTGGATTACAGGACTGAGATTACGTAGTTGATGTCCGGGAAGGGGTTGTAGGAGAATGAAGAGATAGACAGGAATTAATGTATGAATATTGGTGGGGGGTCTTGGGTACTTTGTTGGTGGTGAGGTTTGATAAATGTTAACACTATTGTAGACCTCATACCTAAGTATAATCAAATTAATGTTAATAACGATCACGTTCATCCTGTTTTTCATCGATTCCCTCGAGCAGGCACCAGTAACGTCTCCTTCATCCTAGCCCTGAGATTTTAAAAAGTGCCATATTCAAAGCTCTTTCAGGGTTAGGAGAATGAGACCCATCATTGTTACTGATATTTGTCATATTGGGTACGCCACGGGGAGTTTGCCAAACTCTACCGTGTGGGCAAGTTACATTCATTTGCCTGCCAAGTTGTCCAAACTAAGAATGAGATAAAAAAAAAAAAGATGTCACGCAGCCATAAATGCATTCATGAGCTTCCCGGAGCTAGGTTTTATAGTCTCTGGGTCTTGGCCGTTTATGGTATTACATGGCGCTGGGGGGCCATGTTAATAACATTGTTATAGCAATGTTAATATATGACTTAGATAAGAACAAGGCTCCACTACATGGTGATCTAGGAGAAGGGTTGGTAAACTTGAGATAAACGTATTAGTAAGTGCCCAGAACCAAAGACAGGAGCAAAGCCAGCATGAAAAGAGGGACAGAAGTCCAATCTATTTGAGCTAAATTATGAATAAGGAACTTATGTGATGGGAAGTGGAGCTGGGAATTGTGTGATTCATGTGATCAATGAAAAAAAATCACTAAGGACTATAAACCAGGGAGTCATAGAGAAGATGCGCATCATTTAATTTTTGACTTCTGTCACTCTCAGTAATGCTCAGGACTGGCTTAGACATGGTTCTGTGTGCCAGGATCGCTCTGGCCATATTTTGGGGTGCATATGTGGTGCTGGGAATTGAACTAGGGTTGGTTATGTGCAAGGCCTTAATGTTTATACTGTCTCTCTAGCCCTAGAGAAGTCTCTTTAAAAATATCTTCCTAGGGGAGCAAGAGCAGTTCTTTGAGTGGAAAGGAGTGCCAGCAATCAAAGATGTGTAATAAGACTTGATGTTCTGAAGGGAGAACTGAAAAGAACTAGCAGTCAAGGAAAATAAAGCAAAGGCTGTCATTGTCACTGTCACTGTCACTGTCCTCCCATTATTCATCGATTTGCTCAAGCGGGCCCAGTAACATCTCCATTGGAGACTTTGTTGTTACTGTGTTTTGCATATCGAATACATCACGGGTAGCTTGCCAGGCTCTGCCGTGAGGGCGAGATACTCTCGGTAGCTTGCCGAGCTCTCTGAGAGGGGCGGAGGAATCAAACTCGGGTCAGTCATGTTGGCTGCATGCAAGGTAAACGCCCTACAGCTGTGCTATTGCTCCAGCCTAGTTCCTGTATTTTTAGCCAGAACAATTATTATTATTATTATTATTATTATTATTAGGGGATTGGGGGCTACACCTGGTGATATTCAGGGTTCACTCCTTTCTCTGTGCTCAGAAATTACTCTTATGTATCCTCAGGGGACATTGGGGACAAAAGCAATCAAATTCAGGTTGGTCACAGGACAACTATGATTATTTTTATCAAATAGGCTTCCCTCCCCCTGTATTTTGAATAGGAGGAGAGAACCAAAAGTCTGATTGTCCTTGGAAAGTTAACTGCTCAAAATCAATAGAATGACTTTTTCCTAAATATGCCCTTTTTTTGGTGTGTGTTGCAGATGGGACTCCCGCGTCCTTGGCTTCACTTTCAATGACATGTTCATTCGTATCTCCACGCGCCTCCCCTCCACCTATCTCTATGGCTTTGGGGAGAATGAGCACACGTCTTTCCGAAGAGACTTGAACTGGCGCACCTGGGGGATGTTTTCCCGAGACGAACCCCCTGGGGTAAGAGCAGAGCCTCTGGCATCCCGTGACTTGGCTTCTCTTCACCCACATAGAATTTCCTTCATGCTCTGTCTTCCAATACTCCACTTGGAAGGTCATGTTCTGCTTATAGACATGTGGGACAATTTTTAGACTCCTTTGCTTATTATTTATTTCACATAAGTCTAGATATAACTACTCTTGTGATTTTGTTGTTTCTCTCCCTGGCACAGTCCCTTCTAACCAACTATCTCACATGACTCTCTTAGTACCTGAAGAATTCTTATGGTGTCCAACCCTACTACATGGCCATGGAGGAGGAGGGCAATGCCCACGGGGTGCTCCTGCTAAACAGCAATGCCATGGGTAAGAGAATGCCAGCATCTCCCCCTTGTTTTTTGGGAAGAAATCCTTCTTGAGGAATTTTAGTGTGTGTTTAATCTAGATGCTCCCTGCAGACAAAATTATTATCTTCTGGGCAGTTATTATTGTTATTTTTCTTTCTGGATAATCTTTCTATTTATTTCTATTCAGTAACATGCAACAACAAAAACCAGCCCAACTTTTACTTGGCTAAAATTACAAAAACAGGGATAGCAAAACTAAGTGAACACTTACAAACCCAAAGGACTTTAGATCCAGTGAGAGATGTTGGTGTATTTTGAATTACTGGTGAAACTGTGGGTTAGAGTGCGTACTCTGAGGGACTTATGGGATGAAGAAAATTTGTATGGTATATTGAGAAAAGGGAGGAAAATCAGGAAGTGGTGTGTGAAAAACATACACATGAAAACTGGGGACATCTAAAGTTCTCTAGCTGATCAATTGTATTCTATTATGTCAGCTTCTTGATTTTGGCAATACAGGATGGTTATGTAAGAGGAAAATTTTCTAAGACTTAAGTTATTCTAAGTTACAATAATAATATAAAATGAGCTGGCTTATCAGACATATTCAATAAAACACAGCAATGGGGAAAATCCAGGTAGGACCATGTTACTGACTTTTCAACTCTGTGTAGGTATAATAAAAATACTTCCTCTTAGTATTACATATAATACATGTAATACTTAGTATTACATGTAATACTAAGGAAGTGGGAGAACATAGAATGAATTCAAGGGGAATCCCACACCTTGAAACTTTCTAACCCAGTTGGTACTTTCCTATAATTTCAGATGTGACATTCCAGCCCATGCCAGCTGTAACATATCGTACCATAGGAGGAATTCTGGACTTTTATGTGGTCTTGGGGCCCACTCCAGAACTTGTCACTCAGCAATACACTGAGGTAAGTTTTAGTTTAATTGATTACCATGTGTTTAGATAATATTTTATGAGTGCCCACACCCATATTCATTAGTACAGCTCTCAAATAGTAACTGGAATTGTTGATGTTTCTGAGATACAGGTTTATAGATCAAGCAACACAGCAACAATAAGTGAAATCCAAATAAACATCCAGTTCTTATCATCTCAAAGCCTCTGAGAGTGGCATAAATAGTAGTAATGACATTGGTTGTGGAGGCCATAAAAATAGTGATGGTGATTGTGGTGGTAGATGTGATAATGAGGAATGATGGTGATGATGATGATGGTTGTGGTGACTGTCACAATGATGGAAGCAGTGGTTAAGATTCTGGCCATGATGTAGTAATGGTGATGGTGTTAGGGCTGATAGAAGTGGCAGTAACGAAAGATTTGATTGGTGACTCTGTTGGTCATAGTGACCATGACAGCTGTCTTGGTGGCAGCAGTAACTTATATGTAAAACCTATGGAATATCTCTGAGATATTTGCTGAATATCAGAACATTTTTTCACTTATTTCATCATCCTCCAAACCAGTATGAATCAAATACTGTTATTATCTCTAACTGTGGGAGAAGAAACTAAATGTATATAAAGGATAGTTAAATTTTTCTGAGTCATATTAGCCAACAGGATGGAGCCTGTTTGTAACCCAGGCCCTTTGGCGTTTAGATTCTGTTATTAGCTAATATGTTAGGATGCTCCTAGATATCAGAATCAGACCGTATTTCTCCTAAATTCTACAGAGTGTAATCAAGCCTAGTAGGATGCTTTCTCCCAGATGAGAGGAGCTTTGCACACTTAATTTCTCTCTAGAATTAAATTTGTTGACTCTCAGACTTGGGGCACTTTTTAAAAAAATTTATTTATTTATTTATTTATTTTTTATTAGTGAAACACCATGAGGTACAGTTGTAGACTTACAAATTTTTGTGCTTGGATTTCAGTTATACAATGATCAAGTACCCATCCCTCCACAAGTGCCCATTCTCCACCCCCACCAATCCCAGTATCCCTCCCACCCACCATCCCCCCATCCTGCCCTGCCTCTGTGGCAGGGAACTCCCTTTTGTTTTCTCTCTCCTTTTGGGTGCTGTGGTTTGCAAAAGAGGCATTGGGTGGCAATCTTGTTCGTTCTATAGTCTACTTTCAGCAAGCATCTCCCATCCTGGGCGGATCTTCCCAGCACCGTTTATTTGGTACTCCCTTCTCTATCAGAGCTGTCTTTGCCCCTAGAGTGTGCAGCTGGCCTCCAAGCCATGGACTGAACCTCCTGGTATTTATCACAGCTATTCTTGGGTGTTATTCTTGGGGCAATTTTAAAGTGCCCCTTTTCTTTTGTTTTCCTTAATACAGACCTTCCCGTTTAATTACTAATATGGTTTATTTATTTTTCTAGCTAGTTGGTCGCCCAGTGATGGTTCCTTACTGGTCCTTGGGATTTCAGCTCTGCCGTTATGGATACCAGAATGATTCAGAGATTGCCGATTTGTATGATAGAATGGTGGCTGCCCAGATCCCCTATGTAAGTTCTTAATCTGTGGTGTGCTAGCTCTGAAACCTCCTAAGAGCCAGTACTGGATTCATTCGTTTGATTGGGAAGGGAGCTAGTCAATCAAGTTGCAAAGATCTTTCTCACATAATACCATGAAGAACTCACCCCAATCCAGCATTTCTGGGAGATTACTGTCCCCATCTAGATTCATGTGATTCACCAAGGGAGGGACCCTTATAGCCAACCAAGGGTTCTTTTTTTGTTTTCTTTTAAAGAATATTCTTTTATTTTTTTATTTTTTTTTTGCTGGGGTGTATTTTATTTTTAATTGGAAATATTCAGAATTATAAAAAGAGGTATGTATTCAGCGTTTACTCACCAGAAAAATTCTTTTTTTTTTATTTATTGAATCACTGTGGGAAAGGTTACAAAGCTTTCAGGTTTATGTCTCAGTCATGCAAATATCAAACACATTTCCCTTTACCAATACCAATACTTTACCAATACTTAATACTTATTTTTTACCATGAAGAACCCCAATAAAACCCCACCCCCCACCCCTCCCCGTCCCTGTGAGGCAGATGAATTCTAGTTAACACTCTATAAAGAATATTCTTTTAATTGAATCACAGTGAAATACACAGTCACAAATTTGTCCATGATTGGATTTCAGTCATATAATGTTCCAACACCCGTCCCCTTCACCAGTGTGCATTTCCCACTACCAATTGTCCCAGTTTTCCTACCACCCCACTCCTGTCTCTCTGGAAACTACTTCTATTTCTCTCTTTTTCTCTCTCTCTTTCTCTCTCTCTGTCTCTCTCATTTTGGCCATTCTGGTTTGCAACACAGATACTGAAAGTTTATCCCTTTACCAACTTCAACACTCATTTCCTGCCCAGAGTGATCATTTCCAACAACCAAGGGTTCTTTTGTACTATGTCATACCTCCACATCTCTTAAATTGCCTCAAAAATCATTTAGTTATGAACAATCTTGGTGCCATAAGAACAGAAGATTTCCCCAATAGTACTTTTGTTTATTACACGAACAAAACCAGGGCCAAATCCAGTACATCACAGTGGTTATAGGTAAAATCTTTTTGAGAACTTCGGCCACTGTTCCCTGAAGTCTGAGCTGATCCAGAGTCTAATGTAGGGATCTCTTTGGAAGAAGCACCTATGGAAACACACTCTTTTCTTCTCTTGTGCATCTGAAAACAGGTTTTGATCATAAGAAAACTGATCCTTTTAACCATCGGCCATTACAAGGCAGTTTATCATTCATTGTTTTCTTTTATTTTTATCATATCCCTAGCAGATAGGTCTTATCACTATATTTTTCTATTTTGTTGATTTATTCTTGCCCCCACTTCATTTTATGACAATAAACTAGAAAATTGGATGAATTTCCTAGACTACAACTTAACAAATAACAAAACTAGAGTTTTAAAGAAAGAAGCCACTTGACACATTATCACTTGGTGGAGGGGGGTTTTCACCTAGAATCGGGATGTTTAAGCCAGCAGTCTCAGTTTCTTGTGCATTTCCCCTCCCCAGGATGTGCAATACTCTGACATTGACTACATGGAGCGACAGCTGGACTTCACCCTCAACCCCAAGTTTAAGGGCTTCCCAGAGCTGATTAATCGCATAAAGAACGATGGGATGCGAATCATCCTCATTCTGGTCAGTGCCCATGGGAACATGAGGAGTTGCCTTAGGAAAGCCCATGGGGATTGGTGGAGAATGCTTTATCTTCTGCTTCTTTTGAACAGAGATTCCTAGGTCTAATGGACTGTGAAGAAGGAATATTGATACATTGGCTGTGGGAGTGGGGGTAACACACTTAAATAGTGCAGAATTGGAGTGAAAGCCAAGGCTACCTTAATAAAAAATATGTATGTGTCCATTTACGCATATTCATAGGGTCCAAGGGGAGGCAATGCCTTCTCTTTTGAGTCATCTTCTGAGCAATTCTCCATCTTTGGCTTTTCTCTCCTCACCTGTGTGAATTCATTTCAGGATCCAGCCATTTCTGGCAATGAGACTCAGCCCTATCCTGCATTTGAGTTGGGGAAAGAGAATGATGTTTTCATCAAGGATCCAAGTGATGGAAGCATTGTCTGGGGAAAGGTATAACCATTGTTGATTTCTGAACCTTTGCTGGGGTGTTGGTACTAGTGTGAGCGGGTGGTTTCTTGGATTTTCCCATTGCAGTTTTGAGTCAGATGTAGTAACTTTCTCGATCAGTGTTTATCAGCATGGTTAAGAATTTTTAAAGAACTGCATACATCATGGTGTCTACTTTTCCCCCAAATCAATCTTACCTGAAAATAAAAATGTATCACTCCTAGGACCACGATGTACAGTTTCTTAGGAGATACTGGGGTGAGAGAAATTACCTAGTGCTTTGCTTCTGAACATTTTTCTTTTCATAGGTCTGGCCTGATTTACCCGGTGTTGTTATAAACAGTTCTCTAGACTGGGATACTCAAGTGAAGGTAAAGGGTTCTTGGTGGGCATGAGAAATTCAGGGTTGTCATCAAGATTCAATCTTATTTAGTTTGCTGAATTTTTTGCCTTGGATGTGTGGGTATAGTGAGGGAATAACCTCAGGGAGCCTGTCTTGTATGTCTCCCTAGGTAACAATTATTTTACATCATCTTTTTTGTTTCTAATTGGGAGGTGGGTATTACTACCCTCAGTTTAGTGACTCAGAGATGACATGACTTGTTCATGGTTTCAAGTAACAGAGGGAATTTAAAATTCAAGGTTGTCAGATTCAAAGATGCATGAAATTGCCCCTGGGTAATACGTCCAAAAAGGGCTGGAGCAATAGCACAGCGGACAGGATGTTTGCCTTGTACTTGGCCGACCTGGCCAACCCAAGTTCGATTCCTCTGCCCCTCTCGGAGAGCCCGGCAAGCTGCCTAGAGTATCTCGCCTGCATGGCAAAGCCAGGCAAGCTCCCTGTGATGTATTCTATATGCCAAGCACAGTAACAACAAGTCTCACAATGTTACTGGTGCCCACTCCAGCAAATCGAAGAACAATGGGAGGACAGTGACAGTGACAATACCTCCAAAAACTATTGTCTTCTACCAGATTTAGTAGGTTTCTTGCTGCTGTGTTTTGTTGTTTTTTCACCCCTGCTCCCATCTTCAGGGCTTGGGTCTTCTCTGCACATCTTTCTTTCTTGAACAGGCTCTTCCCTATTCACTCATTACCACCACACTCCTCTTCCTTCGGTTTCTCTACTTTGTTCTTTGTTCCAGTGCTAGTCTATGTTGAAACTTGCTCCCAATCGAGAACAAGTTCTTACTTATAATTGATCTCAGAGAAGGATTCTAGGGAGAATACCTCGCTTCATGTTCCCTGTTTTTCCATAGAAGATCACTTTAGTTGGGCTGGAGCGATAGCACAACAGTAGGGCATTTGCCTTGCACGCAGCCAACATGGCCGACTCGAGTTTGATTCCTCCGCCCCTCTCAGAGAGCCCGCCAAGCTACTGAGAGTATCTCGCCCGCAGGGCAGAGCCTCGCAAGCTACCTGTGATATACTCAATATGCCAAACACAGTAACAACAAGTCTCATGATGGAGATGTTACTGGGCCCACTTGAGCAAATCGATGAACAACGGGAGGACCGTGACCATGATCACTTTAGTTTAGGTGGCAAGCCATATGCACACAGGAATCTGCCAGATCAGAGAAGTTCCAAGCCATGTACCCCTTGATTTTTATTTACTTTTTAAAAATATCACTGCCTCCAGCTTAATTGAAGTATAATTGACTAATAAAATTATGAAGTAAATAATAGAGATATTTTATATGCATGCACATGCACATATATATTAAAATAATGATAATAGGTTTATTATATACCATCACCTTATATAGTTACCCATTGGATGTGTATTTGTTGAGCATGGTTAAGATATATGTTTTACATGTACAACATCAGCAATAACTGTCACATCATTATATATTATATCCTAAACACTTATGTATCTTCTTTTGGGGGGAGCACACCAAGTGGTACCCAGAGTTACTTATGACTTTGCACTCAGAAATTACTCCTGTCAGTCTTCATGAAATCATATGGGATATGGGGGATTGAACTCATTAGTATACATGCAGGTGGGCTGCATGCAAGGAAAGTCTTATCCTCTGTACTATCACAAAAAGAAAAGATTCATTTGTTTGTTTGAGGGCTATGCCTGGCAGTGATCAGGGCTTTTTTTTTTCCTGACTCTGACCTCAGGGATCACTCCTGGTGGTATTGGGCAACCAAAGTGGCCCCAGGGATCTAACCCTAGTCAGCGGCTTGCAAGGCAAATGTTGTACCTGTGGTATCATCACTCCATTGTGTGTTCTGGTACCCTTACGCTAAAGATCAATTGACTATCTCTGTACATTAATTTCTGGGATTAAATTTTGTTTCATTGGTTTGTGTATCTGTTTTCATGCCAGATCCTAGGCTTTTAAATCACTTGACTGGGAAAGAGATTCCGTCACCAATAAAAGAATGTGCTATCGCTATTGAACCCTACAAATTATTTATTTATTTATTTACATTTATTTATTGGATCATTTTTAGAAAAGTTACAAAACTTTCAGGTTTAAGTCTCTGTCATACAATGATCAAACACCCATCCCTTCACCAGTGCATATTTTCCACCACCAAGAACCCATCCCCTATGCCTGTGAGGCAGATGATTTCCACTTAACTCTATCTCTACTTTGATTACATTCATTATTCTGACAAAAGATGCACCATTATTATTTGGAATTTTCTGCCAACAATCAGATCTGCTGAAAAGGCATTGTGAAATAATTTGTTTTGTATTGCTGGTTATGAGAACCACATGATGTTTGGATTTCTGATATTTTACTAATATTTTGGATTTCTGGCATTTTACTAATTAAGTCTGGAGGGATTTCTGCCAAAAGCCGCAGAGTTCTGAGATTGGTTTGTGTGCCTCTAGGTCAATGGTTGTGTCGGAGAGCCGCTCATGGGGGGCAACTCGTGGACTCGGCAGGGGAGAAAGGACATGCCAGTTTTGCCCCCAATCCCGTGAGGTGGCAGTTGCCCCATCACTACCGGCTCATTCCTGACTGTCCAATAAGCTCTGAGGTGGCGGCCACTCTGCTTTGGGTGAGGGGGGGGAGGAGAAGGTGGAAGAGACAGACACCCTTTCCCTCCTGTGGCGAGGGAGGCACAGCACAGTCGCTTAATGCATAGTCCATTTACATTTCTGCTGAAAGCTCCTGAGTTTTGAATTAGGTCCATGTGCCTCTGGGGCCATGCTAGAGAGCCGCTCATTGGGGGGCAACTCTGAACCCCACAATTTATTATACATTAGTAGCATTTATTTTGTCTGGTTTCGCTGGTCAAACAGAACCAGTGGAATAAGGCATAAGGTCCTTGCTCTTTTTGTATTGGTTAAGGATAACTTCCAAGTTAAAATGAAGATATGAATAATTTATTCATTATTTAGGGATGATCAGTCAATGGTGAGGAAGGCTAAAACTTCTTCTTACCTTCTCCCAATTACTAGATTCACAATTAAGTTTTCAATTTATTCTGAAGCTACAGAAAACACAGGTGGATATTAGTTAAATAGTCTAGTCTAATACAATTCAGTCTCCCTCTTTCTCAGTGGTAAGGAGACAGGAGACGAAGACAATCAGGCTCTTGCTTTCCAATCTGTAGACTGAGCAGCAGATGTCTCTCCTTCCCAGACTGTGTCTCTCCAGCCCATTCTACATGTCAAAGGAATGCTGAGGACACTGCAGGGGAGAGTTGAGGGTTGAACATTTAATACAAAAGACAGTGAATTCACAGTGTTGGAAGTCTAATGGCTGCTTTCCAAATGCTAGGAAACCATTTAAATTATGCTTTTTCCCCCTTCATCCTCATTGTAGCACTGTAGCACTGTACATTGTTCATCGATTTGCTCGAGCAGGCACCAGTAACTTCTCCATTGTGAGACTTGTTGTTACTTAATTTGGCATATCAAATATGCCAGGTAGCTTGCCAGGCTTTGCCATGAGGGCAGAATACTCTCAGTAGCTTGCCGGGCTCTCCGAGAGGGCAGAGGAATTGAAGCTTGGTTGACCGCATGCAAGGCAAATGCTCTACCCTCTATGCTATCAGTCCGGCCCATGCTATCTCATTGTAATAGGAATAAACTCAAATTATTTAGGCTTTGCACTGTTATGTTTTATTTTCTTTTGATAATCCATAGTTAAAGACTTTGCCTGAGTTTTCAGTAAATGCCTATTGCTGCCCAATAGACTTGATTAGAATAAATTATATCTAATTATTATATTAAATTACTACTTAATTATTAATTTTTTTGATTATGATTAAATTCTATTTTGTTTTTATGTGACAGCTGTACCGAGCTCATGCAGCTTTCCCAGACTTTTTCCGAACTTCAGCTATAAACTGGTGGAAGAATGAGTTGAAAGAATTACACACCAATACCCGGGAACCCGAAAAGAGCCTGAAGTATGATGGCATATGGATTGTAAGTGTGTGTTTTGCTTGTGCACACACAGATGGCATGTTTATTTCTGTGTGTCTAAGCAGCTGTATGGCTGAACTTTAATCTCCTAGTAGTGATCATTAAGAAAGACTTTGTATATATCAGATGCAATTGGTCCACTTGGTAGTAAATCCCACTGTGATTACCAAAAATTTTTTGCAATAGAGTGTTCTCACATACTCAAACAAGAAGTTTTACAAATAAAAATTTCTCTCTCTAGATATTACAGTTCATTTTCAGCTAGATTGGGTGCATTTCCCTGGGTTTGTATTCAGGGTTTTATGACACAGTGAATTATTTCATTCACCACTTCCTTGCCTCTGAATTGACAGCATATAAATCATTTTCAAAAGTAAAATAAGGGGCTGGAGTGATAGCACAATGGGTAGGGTATTTGCCTTGCATGTAGCCAACCCCGATTCGATTCCCAGCATCCCATATAGTCCCCCGAGCACCGCCAGGAGTAATTCCTGAGTCTATGAGCCAGGAGTAACTCCTGTGCATTGCCGGGTGTGACCCAAAAAGCAAAAAAAAAAAAAAAAAAAAAAAAAAAAAAAAAAAAAAAAGTAAAATAAACCTGTTTGACATTTCTAGGATATGAATGAACCCTCCAGCTTTGTGAATGGGGCAGTTGAAGGCTGCAAAAATCCCACTCTGAACCGACCTCCCTATATGCCACGTAAGCATCCTGGGTACTCTCTGTTAGCAGAGTAATGGCTCTCAGGAGTGCCCCATGCAAGAGTCCAGCAGTCAGGGGCTTTTCCTGATCACTAGCACACATTCTCACTAGTGTTTTTATTGGTGGGAGGAGGATGTCATAGCCAAATAGACTTCAAGTACTTTACCCACTTGGGTCCATGAAAATTACTGGCTCCACCGAATGAATTCCTCAAATTTGTTCAGAAAGCTAGATCTAATTCAGACATGTCAATTCCTTTATGATTAATTTTTGGGTCACTAACTGGGGAATGTGATTGCTTCCCCATCTATCATGACAACATGGACATTGGAGTCACACTTATTGTCATACCTCTGTTATAGAACATCATTGTACAATACTTATATGACGTGCAGTAGAATGCTTGAGCTTATCTAAATTAGGAGGCTTAATATGTTTATGGAATCATGTTTTTTGTAATTTATATGTAATATATATGTAATTTATATATAGTGTGTAATATATATGTAATTTATATGTAATAATGTACATCAGAGAAGCTTAGATTGGAGGCTGTTAGTCACCAGGTTTGGTCACTGCGTGTTCTACCTTGTGGCCCCACCCTCACCCTGGAGGATTGATATTGAAACACTCTGTGGGTGTCATTGCAGCTCAGAGATGAGTGTACCCTCATTCCCCTTGGGAGGAGAGAGACCCCTACAGTGGCAAAGAGGCCTTGATGAGAAGCTGGGGTGAATAGCATCTGGGTAGCTTTCCCATCTCTGCATCTCTTGTTTCAGATCTGGAAACCAGAGACAGAGGTCTAAGCAGCAAGACCCTGTGCATGGAGAGTGTGCAGATCCTGGAAGATGGCACCAAAGTACAACACTACAATGTGCATAACCTATATGGGTGGTCCCAGACCAGACCTACCTACGAGTGAGTTGTCATCTCCCTTCTTCTGTCGTACAACCTGCAGTGATTGCCCATGGCCGATGACACCACTGACTTTCCTTTTCAATCCCCCTTACAAGGGCTAATAAGACTTTTACAACAGGGTCACAGCTCACATTTATTAAACAAGTACTTGCTAGCATGAAGCCAGAGCCCGTGGAGGCTGATCTAAACAAGGCATTGTCCTGCTAGTAAGAAACTCAGAAGCAGGACAGAGGTTTACCATTGTACATTTGATGAAAACTAATGAGCTTTCACAGAAAAAGGAGGCAGAGGACTGGATAGCTCTCTCCTTTATTTCTAAGGTGACCTCTCTCTCTAACACACATTTCAATCATTCTTATTGGACATCCAACTGATACTTTTCTGAATTAATACTGTGGTATTTTGTGTATTCATTAGGATAAGTAACAAAATTTATCCTAGAGAAAGCCTTATACAGAGTCATTCTGACTACATAATGCTAGGTGTTGAGTAAATAAATAGCAATAGAAACTTCTCTAAATTGACCCAAAGAGTTTATTCCATGGTGATTTTCTTTCTTTTTGCTAAATAGTGTAAATTACTCTGTTAAAGCATGTCCGTTCATCATCTGGACTCAGTCAGCTGGAATTCTATCATGATTTCCATTTCTGTTTTCTCTCTAATAACATAGTGGCAATTGGTCACCATACTGTAGGCCTGGAAAATCTGGAAAGAAAACCTCTGTGGCCTTTTCTCGCCTGCTCTGGCTCACAATCATCTCCTTCATTCTCTCCAACCAGAGGTGTGCAGGAAGTGACTGGAGAGCGAGGGATTGTCGTCACCCGCTCCACGTACCCATCTTCTGGTCGCTGGGCAGGACACTGGCTGGGAGACAACACTTCTGGGTGGGACCAGTTGAAGAAATCTATCATTGGTGTGTGGGCATGTTCCCAGGGTCTCTGCTTGCTGGTGTGGGGAGGGTGGGTGGTGATGGGGAGGCATGGAGATAGGTTTCCTGATAAAAATCTGAGAAAAGGCTGGGAAGAAAGCTCAATGGGCTGAAGCACCTGCTCTGCAATCTGGTACTGCATGGTCCCCTGAGCTCTGCTGGGATCAACTTTCACACATGGAGACCCTGAGCCCTGGCCTGAAAACAAAAACAAAAATGATCTAAGTGAGGAGGAGGCAGGTGCCAATCATGGTATCTGACACAGTGTGCTCTCATTACAGGCATGATGGAGTTTAGCCTCTTCGGCATATCCTATGTAAGTGTCCCTGGCACCACTCTAAATCATCAGGTAAATGGTGACATCTTTCAAAAGCCATTAACAGCCACATTTTCTTCCATTCTTTTTTTCAGACAGGAGCAGATATTTGTGGGTTCTTTCGAGATGCTGAATATGAGATGTGTGCTCGCTGGATGCAGCTGGGGGCCTTTTACCCCTTCTCGAGGAACCATAACACCATTGGGACCAGGGTAGGATATTTGCTCTTAGTTCAAAAGTTATGCATGGACATGAAAATAGTCTCCAGTTCTGAGCTACAATTCATGAAAGCTGTGATCCCTGGAGACACCATAAAAACAACTAAATCCTTATGCTGAAACCATATAATATCTACCCTCCTAGAAAATTTCAAATAAATGCCACGGTATTGTTAACTTTAGTCACTATGCCACATGCTAGATTACCAGAATATATGAAATTTACAACAGTAAATTTATGCCCTTTGGCCACTTCGGGGAAGTGGCCAAAGGGCATAAACTTATATCTTATAACCACCAATCTGCAATTTGTTTTCATGTGTTCTACTCCACCCCTCTCGGAGAGCCCGGCAAGCTACCGAGAGTATCCGATATGCCAAACACAGTAACAACAAAGTCTCCAATGGAGACGTTACTGGGCCCGCTCGAGCAAATCGACGATCAATGGGAGGGCCTTTACCTTTTACCTTTTACGTATAAATGACATGATACAGTAGATAGTATTGATCTTTCTGTCTGACATATTTCATTTTGCATGATGAAATCAGATCCATCTATGTTGTTGAAAGTGATAGGAGTTCTTTATTCATGGCTAAGTAATATTCCATAAACTATACATATTCATGAGTCCTGTCATATATTTAATAGGCAAAAAAGGTAAAGGCCCTCCCATTGTTCATCAATTTGCTCAAGCGGGACCAGTAATGTCTCCATTGGAGACTTTGTTGTTACTGTGTTTGGCATATCGAATATGTCACGGGGAGTTTGCCAGGCTCTGCTGTGCAGGCGAGAAACTCTCGGTAGCTTGCCGGGCTCTCCAAGAGGGGCGGAGGAATCGAACTTGGGTTGGTCATGTTGGCTGCGTGCAAGGCAAACGCCCTAGGGCTGTGCTATCACTCCAGCCTGCTATCGCTCCAGCCGTATATTTAATATTAATTTATTTTATATCTCCATATAGACACACATATATACAGACACAAACTCACAAGTGGTACAAGTGGTATTGCTATATCATATGGCAGTTCCTTTTTCAACTTTGAATAAAAACATACCATTTAACACAGAAGCTGTAAATTAAGATCAGTGCTGCATACAGATTTCCCCTTCTTTCACTTCTTAGCTAAAACTTGTTATTTTTTAGCTTTTGGATATCATCCGTTCTAACAGGTATTTGATAATATGCCGTGGTGGTTTTATTTGTATTTCTCTCATTTTGGTAATATTTAGCATCTATACGTATATACTTTTTGTCCAATTATATGTCATCTATGAAAACTAAGTATCAATAACAGTATGAACTAAAGAATTAATAAACATGAGAAAATAGAAGTTACAGAAACATCTTAAAAATATAAACATAATATTAAAAAGTTTATAGATGAACATATAGATGATTCAATTTAAAAAGTTTATAAAATGCACCAAAAGTGGTTCTAAAAAACTTTTTTAGTGATAAATTACTAATGTCATTAACAACAACAGCAAGAACAAAATTTTTGCTTTCCCTCTCACCATGGCCTGGTTCGAGATGGAAAGCCTTGTCCTGGGACCCTGAGGGCCTCTCCTTGCCAAAACACAGTCCCTAGATCAGGAAGCTGCATCGACTGAATCAGCTCTAATTCTCCAAACCCCAAACGGCACAGACACTTTAGTGTCTGCAAGAAATTATTACTGAACACATCTTCCTTCATATTGAAGCCAGTGGTTGCAACAGCTTTATTTCATTGATCATTTGCAATTGAAAAATCTCGAAGGGTCTCTAACTTTTCAGTTAAGGTAACTAAAAACAGCAAGATAGCTGAGATTAAAGCAAGTTGAATAAAGGAACTAAGGATAAGGACAGAAATAAAGAAAATAGACCATAAAAGTAATAGAGAAGATTAAATAAAACTCAGAGCTGATTTTTCAAAAAGATACGGAAAAATTGACAAACATCTAGTTGGACGTCCTAAAATCTGAAGACCCCAAAAACAATATAATAAATAAAATAAATAAGGAAAATGATAAATAAATAAGAAGATCTTGCATATAACACCAAATAATACAAGAAATCATGAGATTCTTCTATTATTAATTGTATACTAACATATTTAGACAACCTACAAGACACAAAGAAATTTCTAGGCATACTAAACAAACAAGCCTAGAGAGATTGAGTCATGAAGAAATAAAAATATGAACAGGACAGCAATGAATAAAGACATTGTTTCAATAGTCAAAAAAATTCCCCCCCCCCAAAAAAATCCAGGACTAAGTGGTCTCCTTGGTGAATTTTATCAAACATTTTAAGAACTAATGACAATTATTTTAAAACTTCTGAAAATTGACATGTACTAAACATTACCAATGTTCATTTTATAGGAACATTACCTTGATACTAACTCTGGTTTTCCATTATAAATTATAAATTATGGACATTATAATGAAAGAAAATTGCACATCAATATACCTGATAAATAAAGAGTTAAAACTGAACAAAATAATAGCACAGTAAGAATGAGGTGCCTGGGCAAGACAGATAGTACAGGGATTAAGGCACTTGCCTTGCATGAGACAGTTCCAGACAGATTTCCAGCAATGTGTATGGCTCCCTGCCCACTGCCAGGAATGATCACTGAGCACTACTAGGTGTAGACTAATAAATAAATAAATAAATAAAAATAGAATTCTTTGTCTTTATTAAGTATAATTTAAACCTTGGCATACAAAGGTGGTTCAATATATGCAAACAAATTAATGTGATACTCCACATTAACAGAATGAAAGATAAAAATTATATCATAATTTCAATAGGTGCAGAGAAAATTTATGACAAGAACAACATCCTTTTATGATAAAAACTCTTAACAAAAAATTTTTTTTACTCAGTTTGTTTCACTCATTAGAAGGATTCTATCCTACATTATACAGACTTTGACACACACGTGTTATATTCAACAGTGAAACATTGAAAACCTGTTTAATATCAGGGACAGGTCAAAGGTTTTATTAATATCACTCCTAATTTACATAGTAGTTGAAGTCCTAATCAGAACAATCAATCAGGCAAGAACACGATATAAATGGTATACAAAAATAATGGAAGACGTAAAATAATCTCTTGATAATTTAATGATCTTACATATAAAAAACCCCTATAGGTGGTACAACAACTATCAAAGCTAATAAATTTTCAGAAATTATATTTTATTCACAATGAAATATCTGAAGAGGTAAAAAAAGCAATCTCATTTATAATGCATCAAAAAGCAACAAAATATTTAGGAATACATGTAATTGAGATGGTGAAAGACTCGTTTACTGAAAACTATAACATTGATGAAAGAAGTTTAACAAAAACAAATGGCAATACCTTCCTTGCTTATGGATTAGTAGAATTAATAATGTTAAAATAACCAAGCAATTTAAAGCCATTCAGAGAGCTAATTTCTATAAAAATTCACATGAAATTTCTTAAAGTTGTAACAAAGAAAATCTCTGAAGAATGGTTTGGAACTATAAAATACTTTCTATAATCAAAACAATCGTGAGAAAGAACAAAGTTAAAAATATTATGTATCTTTATTGCAGAACTATAATAAACCTTACATTATGATACTGGAGTTAAAAATAGACACATAAGAGAGCCTAGAAAAAAACCTTTGGATATACTGAAAACTAACACTTCACAGTAGATCCAGAAATTCTCAATGTAGAAAACATGGCATATTTAATATGAGATGTTAAAAAAAAACTAAGCAATCAACACATAGCCAAATGAATTGGTCTCTGATTATGAGTACTAACATCACCTCTAACAAAAATAAACTAAATATAATACCAGAAACTAGAAAGATTATAGAAGAAAAGAAATATTAAAACAGATCTCAGAAAAAAAGAGAGAGGAAGCTTCCTGATTCTGTTCTTGGCATTGACAATTTTAGATATGACATTAAGACAAAAATTATTAGCAAAAATAACAAGCAGGACAATGTCAAACAGAAAACTTTCCATGGATCAAAGGAAACAACAAAATGAAAAGATAATCTTTTGGAATTGGAGAAAATATATGCAAGCCATGTATTGGATGGGGAGACAATATTCAGATATATGTAATACAATGTGGTGGAAATAGACAATTTTCATTTAAAGATGGGCATAAGAACTGAATGGATGAATTTCTAAAGCAGACATACAAATAATCATCAGGTACACTGGCTGGTACTCATGCTTCAGTGAATACAATTGTCATTGTTTTTTTTTAAATGTTATTCTTCCTGTTTTCTATCTGCAGATAGTTTATTAGCTGCCGTTGGATAGTTTCAGTAAAAATGTCACTTTGGTCTATTAAAAATATTCTGTCTCATCTATAATTATCATTGCTTTAGTTGTTTTTCATCATCATTTGGAATAAATAATTAGTGAACTTCTTAATTCTCCCCCCACCCCCTATTCACCCCCTCCACCTCATCCCACCAATGCTAGCACTTTTTTATTTTTTCAGAATCAAGACCCTGTGTCCTGGGATAAAGAATTTGAGGATCTCTCCAGAAATGTCCTGAACATCAGATACACCTTGTTGCCATATCTCTATACCCTGATGCACCTGGCCAACACAGAGGGCGTTACTGTTGTGCGACCTCTACTCCATGAGTGAGTATCTCACTGGGGTCCCAATGAAATTTGCATTCTTTGTGGTTCCAATTGAGGAAGCCATGCTTTCAAATCAAAAGGAAACTGTGATTGCCTTTGTCATAGCTTTCTGGGCAGAGCCCATGCTTCACCACTCTTTCAGCAGAGTATAAATTATGCCTTGGGTCTTCGATAAAAGGCTAGATTTAATCTCTTTTTCTCTGAAAGAGTAAATTATAACACGAAATATTTTCTTTCGAGTTTTTATATCAGGAAACCCATCTGTTTTTCTTTTTGTGTCAGCTCAGTTCATCTCAGGTCATAAAAGAAGGCATTTAGGAAAATCTGTAAGGATGAAGGCCATATTTGCACATGAAATGTGTTCAGGTTGAGGAAGGTGGAGATATCTATGGTGATAACATATATAAATTCAGCCATGTCTGGAGCTGCAACACATGCCTTGTAGATAGTGAGTAATGTGTCCAGTCAAAAAGTAATGGATAATATAATATATGAGGCAGTCAAGTCTAAACAGGAGGGGTTTCTTTAAGGTCTTTTGTTGGGATTCTGCTGGAGGATCCTAATAGAGGTAATGTGTCTTCTCTTTCCAGGTTTGTGTCGGACAGGAAAACTTGGGACATAGACAGTCAGTTCCTGCTGGGTCCAGCTTTCCTGGTCAGCCCTGTTCTGGAACCTGTAAGTATGAGGTCCTCTGGCAATAGAGGGATCCCGAGGCAGGTAAATTGGGCAAGAAGAACTGTTCTAGTAGGGATCCTTATTCTACTATGTCACCTCCTCTCCCTCTGAGCTGAAGTCCTTCACTTGGTGTTATGGTCCTTTGCATCCCTAGCATTTAAATAAGTGCAACAAATCTGATTGACTAGACAATCCAGAAGGGGAAAAAGACATCTTCTATATTTAAAAACACAATCATCTCTTTAATTGAAATCAGCAGTATAGGTCATGTGGGTGTAGAACTATGAAGAATTTGTTGCCATAATCTACTATCATAAAAACAAAACTTTGATTAGAGGTGCAGATAGTCTTGTTCGCTACTACTTCTCTTCCTGCTGTCAGAGGATTTGGGGTACCCCCTCCTTTACTTTGGTGGTGATTGTATTTCTGACTAAAATGCTAGTTAATTATATCCTCCCAAAATTTATTACACTACTAATAATTTCTGAAGTATGTTTTGTTTGTTTGCTTGACTGTGGGTCATATCTCGTGATGCTCAGGGCTTACTCTTGACTCTTTGCTTAGGAATCATTTCTTGGGTTTGTTTTTAAAACCAATATGTGGTATCATATTTTGAACTAGGGTTGAACGTGTGCAAGGCAAGCACCTCAATACCTCAACTTTCTATCTGGTACTGTAAAGTCCTGACATAAACACCATAAAACTGGGGTTGCCTTGATCCCAGCCTCAAGTTTTATCTTTAGAGAGGGCACAGGATAAGTTAAAGAGCAAGTATAATGCTCTTCTATGTCAAGGCTATGTCCCAATAGATTTTATGGAAATGGCCATGTTAAGGTAGGCAGATCTTTTCCCATTTGAGAAGGGGAAAGGCAGAAGAATCTCCCCCAATATTATTGATTTCTAGAGCTCTGAGATGGGTGTCATTTCTCTTTGATCCATCTTTTATGCAAATTGGTTACTCTGCTCTGGATAACTAACATAGCCCACTGTCCATGCCTCTGTGTTTTATTTTAGAACACTAGAACTGTCAATGCATATTTTCCTGATGCCCGCTGGTATGATTACCACACGGTAAGTTTTTCTGATTGTGTGTGCAACCTGGGAAAACAGAAGTGTGCTCAAATGTCAGATAAAATTCTGACTGCATAGGAGCTAGAGAGATAGTGTTGAGCTTAACTTGCATGAGGTTGCCCTAGTTTCCACCCTCAGCACCCCATATATTCTCGTGAACCCAGCCAAGAAGGATCCTTGGCATAGAACCAGGAGATCCATGATTATTTTTTTCTCCTTTAAAACAGTCAAATGCACTCCACTATCAAACCTGACTGGCATCTGGTTTTGTAAGTAACGTTTTATTGGAATTCACTGTAGGCATTTTTTTTAACTTATCGACAATAATTGCGTTCCCAATTCGACAACAGAGTTCTTTGGTTACATCAGAAATTAGCTGGAGCATAATTTTTAAATTTAGTGATTCTTACATGGCGTTTTACATTCAAAGTTTATTAATCCCTGTTACAGAGGATACACAAACTGATGCAACTTATTACTGAAATGTATGGGATCATGTGAAAGGAACAGAGCAATTATCTAAAAACATTGTAGAAAAATAAACCTCCATGTAGACATTTATAGAAAAATAGATGCAGGCAGACTAGGTAAAAAATGAAGACATTTGGGGAGTTGGGTATTATTGAAAAGGTATCCTGAAAGATAGATGGATGTTTAAAAAGTTCACTAGGAAAGTCAAAGTACCTTCACCCATAAAAATACAAACATACAGAAGGTCAAACAGTAGAAAACGGAAAGCAAAATTAATCATTTTTGAGCACCAAGAGATACCACTTCCCACCGCAAGAATGTCCATCAAAAAATGATAAAAAAATAAATGATGGACAGGTTTAGGGAAGAAATGCCCAGCAAACTGCAGGTGGGAATATAAGTAGCTATAGTCATTATGGAGAATAGATCTTGAAGAAAAGAATACAACTACCCTCTGATTCAGTTAATTACTCTTTGTAGAGAACTTTGCTTGTCCCGGTTGATCTTGGTGAACATAGATACAATAAAATCTATTTTTGCTCATCCTCTCTTATTTCATCATGTAATACATTAAGTAGTTTGAGTGGTTTGTGCCCTTCATTTAAAAGAGAGGAGACATAGAACTAATCCAATTTGTCTTATTCATTAACAATTTTTATGACATTAAGAGCAGACTATGTATATGAATTAAGGGTTTTCATTGGGTAGTTTTCTTGGTTACAGCATAGAACATAAGTTAGGGTTTTAAAATAGTGTTTTAATCCAGTAACTCCACTACCCAGCCGCCGCCACGCTCCAGGATGTTTTCCAGACACATCATAAGACACTTAATACCCATCTTTCAGGATTGCTGCGCCATATTTGATAGGGTTCAAATACGATTTGAACCATGGGAACACCTACAAGGGCAATTAGAGGCCGCCCCAATTCCTCTTGGAGAGACTGGCAAGCTACCGAGAGTATTCCTCCCACACGGCAGAGCCTGGCAAGCTATCCGTTGTGTATTTGATATGCCAAAACCAGCAATTACAATGGGTCTCATTCCCCTGACCCTGAAGGAGTAACTGATTTGGCAGCGTTGAGAAGGATGAGGAAGGAGCAGCTGATAAAATCTCAAGGCTGAACTAGGCTGCCAAAATGAAGAAAGACAAAAATGATTGTCTGTACTTTCAATGCATGTATGGTGGTATCTGATGCATCCATCGAGGACCTGATGGTACAAGCACGAAAGATCAAGTATGACATCATTGATCTGACCGAGACAAGAAGGCATCAATCACATCACACCGTTTTTGACACTGGAGAAGAACTATTCCTCAGAACATGCAACACAGGAGGCGTCGGAGGCATTGGTGTCCTTGTCAACACGAACTTGGCCATGATCATTGATTCATTCCAATGCCTAACAACCCGAATGGGACGATTACACTTGAATAGATGTGGCTCACTGCCGGCAGTTTCTATCTTTGTCGTCTATGTATCAACATCCAATTATGATGAAGAAGAATTTGAGAAGTTCTACATGGAGCTGGAGAAGTTCTATATAGAAGACCACACCTTCTACAAGATCATTGTTGGTAATTTTAATGCCAAGATAGGATCAAGAAGATCAGCCGAAGAACTCCACATTGGGACCCATGGTCTAGAATGGAACGAACAGAGTGAGAGACTGTCTAAATTCATCCTGTCAACCAAGACCATCCATGGTAACTCACAGTTCCGGAAGGCCAAATATAAAAAATTGGACATGGGAGTCTCCCAGTGGACGGTTCCACAATGAAATTGACCACATCATATTCAATTGACGGTTTTGCCTGACTGATAGCACTGTTGTCCCAAAATTTCAAACTGGATCGAACCACCATCTCCTTCATGCAGAATTTTACTTCACAGAGTGGGGAGAAAGGGCTGCAAAGTTTAAGAGGAGAACTCCCAGAATGACCAGCAAGTGGGAGCTCTTTGGCACTATTGCTGCAACATGGGAAGATGCTGTCACTGACAACACTTATGAAGAATACAATCGACTAGTTCAGCACCTCCATGATTATGCGAGGAACACCAAGAGAGAGATAGGCACAAAAAATGCCTATCTTCGAAAACTCTTGAGCTTATTCACCAACCTGGTTTGGCGCATGCCTCAGGCAACCACAAGTGGATGTCCAAGCTTGCAAAGCAGTGCAGAGATGTGATAAAGGAAGACCTCAAAGACCTCAAAGAGAGAAGAGCAGCAGTGCTGGTAGATGTGGCAGAAGTCGGGAAAAGCATTCACAAAGCCCGCCTGTCCTTAGCCAATTACAAGACCAAGATGACTGTCCTCTGACGTCCTGATGGATCTTTCACATCTTCCAGAAGGGCAATGGAGAAGATTATCCATGACTTCTACTCAGATCTCTTTGATAACCACATCCACCTGTTCACATACCAAATTCCGCAGGATAGATATGTTGTTCCCAACGTTCTCCCTTCCAAAATCTGACACGTCATTTCTTTCAGTAAAGAAATGCACAGCACCTGGCTCAGACAAGGTCAGACCTGAACACCTGAAGAACCTGAAGAAGCACTCATCAATACACTGGTTCGGCTCTTCACATGCTACCTGTCTGAATGCAAGATTCTGAACCAATGGAAAACCAGCAGGACTGTACTACTGTACTAGAAGGGAGACATCCACAACATCAGCAACTATCGCCCCATCTTCTGCCATCTACAAGTTGTTCATTTGAATCATCCTAAATAGAATAGGCAGAACACTAGATGAAGGACAACCATACAAGCAAGCTGGGTTCCAAAAAGGATTCAACACAATCAACCATATATATATACTGTGACCAAGCTCATTGAGTTTTTGCCAGAGTTCAAGATGCTGCTCTGTCCAATGTTCATCGATTTAAAGAAGGCCTTTGATTCTGTTGAGACTGAAGTGATCATTGAAGTCCTAGCCAAACAGGGTGTTTAACCTAAGTACATCAGATCTTCTGTGAGCTGTATTATGGATTCACCACCAGGATCTCACCATTCTACAAGAAAGTGCTCATGGATGTTAAGAGAGGAGTTCGGCAGGGTGATACCATTTCACTGAAATTCTTGAGTGGTACCCTCAAGAATATCATGGGATGACTGGAATGTTATACAAGAGGAAAGATATTATAGCTTGGGGCTGAAGACCAAGTATAGCTGGTAAAGCACTGCACTTGCCTTGCATATTACTGATCTGAGTTTGACTCTAGCACCACATATGATCTCCTGAGCACTGCCAGAAGTGATCCGTGAGACTGGCGCCAGTGTGGAAGCCCCAAGCATAGCTGGGTGTGGCCTACCAAAAAGATAGTGAATGTTAAGGAAGACAGAGTTAGTTGATGGTAAAGATTCATAAAACAAGACCATTCACTAAATTCTTTCCTGTTAAGCATGTGCCAGGTGTTATTTTAGTCAGTAGGAGAGGAAATTGGGGAAGAAAGATGAATCACGGTGAAAGAGAAGGAAAAATGCCTTGAGGGGTGTATATAGAAGTGTTCAGAAGTGAATAACCCCCCTCTCCTGTGAGAAGGGATCCCGACCTGCTGCTGGACAGAACAGCAGTTGTGGAGCAGCTGGGTAAGTGTGAGGAATGCAGGGGCTGGAGAGATAGCACAGAGGGTAGGGCGTTTGCCTTGCACGTACCCGACCCGGGTTCTATTCCCAGCATCCAATTTGGTCCCCTGAGCATCGCCAGGGGTGACTCCTGAGTGCAGAGCCAGGAGTAACCCCTGTGCGTCGCTGGGTGTGACCCAAAAAGCAAAATAAATAAATAAAATAAAAAGTCTGAGGAGTGCAGTTGAGGGTGTATGAAAGGTCAGGAAGGGCAGTAAGTTCTATGGGATGACAAGATGCATGGCGATTTCCAGTTCAGAGAGGCGTGTTCTTACCTTCATCATCTCTTTCCCTCTGGTCTGCAGGGTATGGACATTGGAGCAAAGGGAGTAATGATGAACTTGTCAGCCCCTCTCAACCACATTAATCTCCATGTCCGTGGAGGCTACATTCTGCCCTGGCAAGTGCCTGCACAAAACACACACTTCAGGTGAGTGACTGGCCAGGTGTCCCTATTGCATGTCACTAAGCTCAGATCATGTTGAAACCCAGCTATATGGAAACTTTACCTTTAGGCTCCAAAGCACTTTAAGCATTTTGCTTGTTTTGCTTGTTGGACCTCTCTAGTCAATTTTTTGACAAGTGATTATGGACTTTCTTCTGGGGAGGGGGAACTGATGGAAGTTTGGGAAACACCTGACAATGTTCAGGGGCTATTCCTAGCTCAGTACTCAGGCATAATCCCTGGTGATGCTCAAGGGACCATATGTGTTATTGGCATTGAACCAGGGTTAGCAGGATGGAAGGAGAGTGCCTTAATCCCTATAGTATCTCTGCAGCTCAATGGGTTTTCCTAAGTGTTAACTTTTTCCAATTACGGTACCATTGTGTTTTTAAAAGACTGTCTTGTTTTAGGAATACAATTTCACAGCTCTTCCAAATCAATGTTCCAACCCCATGTTCGTCATCAAGTGTCAATAATCCCTCCTCCATAGTCCATTATTATTGGCAAATACATTAGATCTACGTAGATGAGAGAATAGTTAGAAATTGTTATGTGCATTTGAAAAAGCATACAGAGGCCATGGATATTTATGCTTATAATAGAAAAACTTGTATCTTAATGGACTCTTTACTAAGAAAGCTATTATCCAAAAACTTGCAAACTTTATTATAAATTATGCCTGAGTCTGGGATTCCTTTTAAATTTCTAGACCTACATCTCTGTAATAATAATAGTATCAAGTCAAGAATCCCTACTCTTCTTTTCGAACAGTACTGAAAATGGAGGTTCTTTTTGTAGATTATTTTTTTATTAACAAAAATAAGATAATAAAATCTATGATTTAAATCAGTGGTTTTCAATCCTTTCACACCTGTGGGTCAACTTTGGTCAAGATTCACAGTTGAAAATAGAGTTTTCTATTCTAATAAAAAATTATTCACATTTCGCTGTTGGACAAAGAGAATACAAAAAGTTAAATGAACTCAGAATCTCTCAGTTAGTAAGTTTTTGTAAATTTAGCTAATAATTTCAACTATGCACTGAAATTTGTGAAACCTGTCAGTTGAGCCTAAAAATTCAGTTAAAAGTGGAAGAACTTAAGGGCCAATGTGACAGTACAGCGAATAGGGTGCTTACCTTGCAAGTGGTCTTCCTGGCACCACACATGGTTCCCCAAACCTTGCAAGGAGTGTTGTCTGTGGAGAAAGGAAGAAATCCAATGAGATACTGTTCATTTCTTATAGGCTTACATAGCCTTAGAGGGAAAAAATCCCCATTGATCAGTTGATTGATTAATTAACTCATTTCAAGCCTGAAGTTTGATAGCTAAAGGAGACAAGAACCAAAAGCAAATCCCAAGTCCCTTCAATCTGTGTAACAATTTTTACACCACAGAGTACTTTTCTCTGTTTTCATGAACAGCCTGGGCTTGTTGCTGTGCTTTGTTTATATCTAATATTTCTCTCCTTTCTCCCTGCAGTCGTCAAAATTTTATAGGCTTCAAGGTTGCCTTGAGTGATGCAGGAGCTGCTGAAGGCAAGCTCTTCTGGGACGATGGGAAAACCATTGGTAAGTCATGGTGCTCTGATTCACGTCCATCTCAGAGGCAAAGTTCCTTTGCACTGCATAGGCCTGCTTTCTCCTTTTCTAAGGTTACTGTTACTTAGCACTTTTAAATAGAGAATAACCGTGTATTACTTCTAAGTGTTTGACACATACTGTACATGATTTCTGTGAGTTAATAAAGCTTAACTCTCAGTGACCAAATTTGCTGCGGAAGCAGTGTGGAAGCTGTAGGGAAAATCTTTGTCCCCTCTGAGAGATTCTTCTGTCTGGTTTCTGCTGAAGGACACATTTCCTAAGGACATAGTTCACTGGGAAAATAAAGAAGACGCGTGCGTCTATCTTGTGTGGGTGTTTTTAACTTGAAGGAATTCGCGAAATTTTAGGTAGATGATTCAAGCACTGCTAGCTATTTTCAGGCAAGTGACGTCCAATAGAACTTCTAACAATGATGGGAATGTTCTAGATCTCATTGTCAAAAAATAGTCATTAAGCATATGTGTGTAATGGCACCTTGAACACAACTAATGCATCTGGGGACCTAAGTTCTTAATATTGTTTCATGTTAATTTAAATTTTGTGAGTGGCTACTGTCTTTGAAAGCATAGCTCTAGAGTAACACTTGTTGCATTTTTGTTTTCTCATGACCCTTTTTCACCCACGAAACGTAGCACAGGGAAGTGGTATCTATGGTTTGTGACACGTTTGACTTGGAATTTACTTTTGGTCATTGCGTGTTCAGAAATTTTTTACTATTGCCAAATTGTTAGCAAGCCCACATTCAACCACGTGACCCCAGATGGGACTGGCGCCTTTGTTTTAGGAAACGAAGCTCTAGAGGATACCTGTTTTCCTTTAGATTTAGGTCAGCAAATTAGATGAGAAGCAACCACATGGGGAAGGGGCGGTGCCAAATGTAGAATGTAGCATGGAAAAGTCTGAAACATGTTTCTATTTAGGGAAATTTAATGGAGTTTCCCATGTCCCTGAACCTGTGGCATAAATGAAGAACAAGAGAGAAGGAAAACTTTTTTTTTTATTCTTTGAAGATTGTATTTGAAAATTGCCCAAATACTCTTCAATTTAAACCGAGCAAGACTTCAGCTTTGGTGTTTGTGATCTGTTCACCTCTGAGTGTGCACATATGTATGCTCTAGCAGAAGGAGTCTGTCAATTCTGAGGTGACAAGGGAGCTTTTGATAGTGGTCGATCACAAGAAAGAAAAGAATTAAGAGTTTGTTTAGGAAACCACATGCAATGAGGTGACTTTGCCACACAGCTGCATACCTGTATACACTTATTGCAAACATTTAGTACAAACTGAGGCTGGGGGCACAGTCCGACTTTGCCCTCACAAAATAAACCTCTGTAGAGAATAAAAATGGCACAGAAAATGAACAAAAATCATGTCTACTTTCTCTACTAACAAGTAACTGATAGAATCTTAGAGCATAACTCGTGATGACAATTATTTTGTTGTTTGCAGATACCATTGGAAAAAAGAGCTATTACTTGGCAAACTTCTATGTCAGCGATGTAAGTGTGGCTGATAAACCAAGGGATAATGGAGTTATGCTAGTATCCTGGGGCTCTGCATGGCACCCAGGATTCTAGATGGTACTTGATGCTATGAGAATCTGAAGGGCCTAAGGTACCACCTACAATTCCTTCATCCTCCCCATTGGGAATTTATTTCATTTTTATTTCTTTTTTTAATTTAAATTTTTATTAGTGAAATACCATGAGGTACACTTGTAGACTTAGAAATTTTTGTGCTTGGGTTTCAGTTATACAATGATCAAATACCCATCCCTCCACCAGTGCCCACTCTCCACCACCACTGATCCCAGTATCCCTCCCACCTCCACCCCCCAATCCTCCCCTGCCTCTGTGGCAGGGCATTCCCTTTTGTTCTCTCTCTCCTTTTGGACTTCATTACTTTTTTAATATGCATTATTCACTCCTCTAACCTCAAGATGGAGATTTAGTTTGAACCTAGGGCAGTTTCTGTGATTAAGCCCAACATGTTTCATTGGTTACTTATGCCACACCTGCACAGACTGCATCTATATTACCTAACCCTTAGTCCTAAATTGCTATAGAATGACCTGCACATTTTATGATTTCTTCACATGTAGGGTTTCTGATACTGAGACTCTTTGTCTCTTTGGAATTCAGGGAAATGCCAGATATTTATCAGGCCCTCAGCCAACACAAAGTTAGAGGACAGATGGCAAGAAGGGATATAATCTCAAAATCATAGCCTTCAAGGGCACTATCCAAGAGCATTAGAAGATAACTCTGTCATTGTAAATGCCTACACTGTAAATTTTCTACATTTATAATTGATAAAAATAGGCTGGGAAGTACCGAAGATATTGCTCAGCATTAGAGCATAGATAGGATTTCCATGTCTGTGGCCTTGGGTTCAATCTCTGATGTTGAAAAAAGAAAAAGGAAAAGTTGAAAGAGTTTTCTATTTTTACCTCCTCTAATTTCTTGTATCTCCTATTGACAGAACATGATGAAAAGTGACATAGTTTTCAACAACTACATTAGCGACTCAAACCCTCTGCTGCTGGGGTTCATTGATATCTGGGGAGTGGACAGCGCCTCCACAGCCCAAATCAAGATGACTGTTTTGATTAATGAGGTTGATACACAAGTTATAACACCCAAAGCAAGCTACAACTCTACATCAAAGGTTTGTACCACTGAAAAGTTCAATGGTATTTCCCAGTCCTGAGCTAGTTGTATAACTCCTATCTGACTCCCTTTCAATTTAGACGAGGTAACATTGAATGTGAAGAAATGTAAGGAATAATTTAACTTATATTTTTCAACTTTTCTGTATTTTAAATTCTTTAGTTTTTATTATATTTTTTATTATTTTATGTGTTATTGTTTTTAAGGGTAATTTCTTTCTTTGAAAATGATTTTTATTGAAGCATTGTGATTCTCAAAGTTATTTATGGTTGAATTTCAAGCATAAATTTTCCAACAACAAACCAAGTATTAACTTCCCACTACCAATGTCCCCAATCTCCCTCACACCCCTGGCCTGCCTCCTTGATGGGCACATTTTTAAGTGTCATGGCTGTAGTTTAGGTCTCATTCAGTCACTTTGTTCTTGTTGTTCTGTGGTTCAGATATTTACTGAGAACAATTAGCTCTCAGTAATTTGAGATAAACTGCCTCATCTTCAAACTGCCCCTTCCTCCTAGTCTGGTTGTCTCCTTTCTGTCTCCTTTTATTTCCCCCTTCAGTTTCTAACCTTCCCTATCATTCTCAGTTCTATAATCGAGGGACCAGGGTAAGCAAGCTATCTCTCCTTTGAAAACTTTCATTTTTTGTCCTCTTATTCTATATACTACAGATAAGTGAGAACATCCAGCATTGGACTTTCTCCTTCTCACTCTATT